TCAGCCTGGAGAAGAGAAGGGGCCGGGGGGACCCTGAGAGTGGCCTCCCAGGGCTTAAAGGGGGGACAGGGAAGGTGGGGAGGGACTCTGGGTCAGGGGGTGGGGGTAGGACGAGGGGGGACGGTTTTAAGGTGAAAGAGAGTAGGTTTAGGTTATATATAAGGCGGAAATTGTTCCCTGTTTGGGGGGTGAGGCGCTGGCCCAGGGTGCCCAGAGCAGCTGTGGGTGCCCCCTCCCTGGAAGGGTTCAAGGCCAGGTTGGATGGGGCTGGGAGCCCCCTGGGCTGGGGGAAGGGGGCCCTGCCCGGGGCAGGGGGGGGCACTGGGGGGGGGTTTAATGTCCCTTCCAACTCAACCCTTTCTGTGATTCTGTGATAAACAGAGCTGGATGGCCTGGCCTCATCAGGGCCTTTACTGCATATTAGATTCACTGCAGACAAACATTCAGTCTGTAGGTCTGACTTCCCAGAAAAGCCCACAACTTGTTGCTTGCACAGTATACAGCATTTGATCACTGAAAATCTTATAAAGCCCTAGAAAGAGACAGACAGACATAGAAAGAAGGCAATCAAGAGGAATCTCCTGCTGCCACTAAAGCAATTATATTGATGCCGATCCTGCTCTGAGTGAAAAAAAGGATGGTCGGGAGGCTGAAGAATTATGCCTGAGAACTGCATACAGGTGCAGTATACTGGTGGAGCACCTCCAACTTAAAAAAACATGACTATAATACCACCATCTGATCCTTTCTACTCCTTTTCCTATTCATTAAACATGGACCATTTGGATGATCCCTTTGGTGTCTCTTTATTAGGGTTTTCCATATGAAATATGATAGCCTCCTTTTCTCTTTGTGCTGTACAGAATTACTCTGCTATCGATTTTTATTCCTGCTCCTCATAAAGGCAAAGAAGAAAACCTGGCAGGAAACAAAAACACTGTAAACTACCAGAAGCTGCTGCTTCCCAACTGAAAATCAGAGTTATTTTCCCAATTATACATTCTCGCAACAGACACAGAACTACCCCAAATGCAACTGTTGACAATATGAACTCATGCACTGTGTTAACTCACTCTGGCAAGTGGCCTGTGAGCCCAGTTCATCGATTTCCATTCTTCTGAACAAGCCTTTATCCTACCACGAGTCCCCACACAGAGAACGATTGATCCGGATCCCCCAGAAATTCCTCCTCTCTCCTCTACGGATCCACTCAATAGGGTTATTAAAAAACACCTCAGAACACTTCTGTTGTACCGGTTATCACCAGGAAATGAATATAAACAGGATCTGTTCTAGCAGTCAGCAGACAAAAATTCTGAATTCAGATTAAACCAAATGAAGTTAGTTCAGTTAATTTATTTCCTCTGTTTCAAAAGCAGTAAAAGAGAAGCCATGTACATTGCTAAGCACGTTTAAGAGTCGAGTAAGAATTTCCATGTATTGTTTTAGTGATAGTTGTATTTTATATCCTCTTCCCAATACCCCAATCCATTTAGCATATTACTGAGGCACAACACGGTGCGACCATCACCTCACATTTGCACAGTAAGAAATACTGTGAAACTCACCAATTATCAACTTGCTTATAAGGATGTGTGTACAAAGAGCAGATTTCAACCACTTCAAGAATCAGCAAAGCAAGCCACCCACAACACAACTCGTCCATGAGCAAATACAGTTAAATCTTCATATGTTCAGCATCCCATTTGAAAAAGTAATCCTTGGGTTAAACCTCTCAACCATAAACAGCAGGATTCCCAGTACAGCTAGGATTCAATCCAAAATTGTTAGGTCTTTGTGATTATTTACAAAATCTTGCAGCAGTAGACTAACCTTGTTTTAGGGCTGCCAGCCCAATGCTTTTGCTGATTGTGGTACCTTAGTAAAGATGAAACGGGGTAATTGCTGATTAATATTTTAAAGGTTCATTGCCTTTACAGATCCAAAAGTCCCTGTACAAGACCGAACCCAACAAGCATCAAGAAAAATTCCCTTTGCTGCTGTCTGAGAAGAAAGGAACGCAGCCCTCACCTATCTCTGAGGACACATCCTGAGGTTACCTCTCAATTTCCTAGAGGTCACTAAGCCAGCACAAGCCGGTAAGCACTTTGACAAAGAGAGGCCAGCCCTGGCCACAAAGTGACCCTGCACAACCTCTCTGGTCTGGCGGCATAGTACCACCAGCAGCAGTGCACAGCTCCCAGAACTGCGAAACCTTGTTCAAGTTACAAATGATTTCCCTTACTTTAACACTGATTACCTTATAACTGGTCACCAAGTATTTCTGCTGTACAAGGGCTGGGACAACATGCAGAAAGGAGCATGCAGCTTAAATAGTTGTGCCCTTCAGCTTTACTATAGCAATAAATCAATTAACAGCCAGCTGCTGATTAAAATGGCGAATCCTTTCCCCTTTCCTTCCCTTCTCTTTCTCTTTCCCCTCCCTTTCCTTTCCCCTTTCCTTCCCTTTCCCCTCCCTTTCCTTTCCCTTCCCAACCTCAGCTACTCCCCTCCACTTCGGCTGATCTGACCCAAACCTGAGCCAGTTTAGAGAGCTAAACAGGCAGAAGACAATATGCCTCCCTTTGTACACTTAGTTTTCTACCAGTTTAGCTCACCGTTACAGTAGCCTGATGAGTATCTCTGCTGACAAGGCAGGGGGCAGGAATGCACAGCTGTAAATAGAGGGAGAAGAGCAGAAAACCCTTTCATCAGTAGCCAGCCATTAAATCAGGTAGGTGTATTAGCACCACACCCTGAGTGAGGGGTAGACAAAGGGAAGCAACCCCGTGTTTTCCTTGTAACAGCCATAAACCTGAGAACAGAGACATGAAAAATTTCCTTACCTATTCCCACCGTTATTGGGACTTTCTTGGAATCACTGAGTAAGTTCCCACCCTTGCGTTTCTTCTTTACTCCTGCCAGCAGGAATTTCCACAGAGTCCAGCTATTAAGCCAGCCATGAGTAATGTGTAAGGAACAAACCAAACAGCAATCGCATTTCACCTAGGTTATGCCAGAAAAAGATCGAGATCAGACAACTCTTTAAAAGAACAGAAACACAATAAAAGGAAAACATTTTCTTATCTTATTCAATTCTATTTAAAACAATGAAATGAGAGCAATATTAGCTAATTAATTTTAACTAGGGATAATTCCATGTAATTAGTTATGTTAATTCAATTACACAGGAAGAGAGATAGCACTGGCGCGCAGGACAGAACAAGAAACGCTCCAAGAACACTGTCAGAAATGAAAGAATTCACAGGATGAGAAACAGGAGACAAAAGAATTAGCACCCCAGACTTGATCTGTGGCCCAGTCTAGTATCTGTTTCAGGTGACACGAGCACATAAGGCTTCAGAAGGTGGAAACAAACCCCAGATAAACAAAACCACAAAGACATGTCAGAGGATAAATCTACCTCGACAAGCTACAGTGTAATGGTTAGAAACTTTCTTAAACAAAAAGGTGTCTTAGATTCTTTATAAACCTTATTAGCAATAACTACTGGACATGGATTGTTTGTAAGCCAACTGGTTGCTTGACTTACCCTTGAACTCCTTTCCTAATCACTCCAGTGGCCGAGTCCCGCTATCTAATTATACACAGAAGGTTAACTAGCTTAAAGTGGATAAAGCAGCAGTGGATACGTTCTATCTCGGCTTTAGCAAGACTTTTGATGCTGTTGCTAGATAGGAACGTAACTAATACCATAAGCTGGGTATGATGTCAAATGAAAACCCACCCCTTAAAAAAAAAAATATTAATACGTGATTGTCAAAGTAGAAATGTATTTCAAATACGGTCAAAATGATGGCAAAGGAAACATCAAAGATAATGAAAAGCGATCAGGTTTGTACTTTTCCAGTCTGATGAAACCAAGGGAAACCCTGGACTGCTTCAGCTCTTGTTCTCGGAGAGCACAGCAGTCAGAAAACGGGTCACCACCGGTGACGGATACGTCTAGGAAACTCTATCGATGAACCCATACAGACAAAGTTTGAAGAATGTTTCTTACGTATTTTATTGGCTGAATCAGGATGGAAATCTGCACGCTTGCTATACATGCAAACTTCCACATGCATCTATTTATCTCATTTTAATAACTTATTTGAAGGCTCTTTAAAGATTAACTAGGATCCAGTATAAAGTTCCTGATTTCCTGACAGATCGAAATGTTCGAGCCACTGCAGGTTTTTGGTTTGTTGCTGCTGGTTTGGTTTCGCACCACCCCAAGTTCCAGCAGACCCATAAATGGCCAAGCCTAACCTGGGATTCCCGGAGCCATGCAATGGGAGTCCCTGATTGATTTTTGTTTTTGAGATCGCAACTTTACCTTACTTTCATCCACCCTGTTAACCTGCGGCTCACAGATTCAGGGGGAAAAAAAAACAAAAACAAAAACAAAAACAAACAAACAAACAAAAAACAACAAAACACAACACAAAACAAACAACCAACAAAAAAAAAAAAAAAAACACAAAAAAACAAGAGAAGTTCTGCGGTCGAGCGAGCAGCTCTATCAACTCAGGAATCATAGGTAGCTCTGTGGAACTCGCCCTCTCCGCCCCCGCTAACGAGGCGGGCCTTCCCGGGCAATGTGCCGCCGCGACTTGGCGCCCCCGGGGGCCACGAGGGACTCTTCGATGCCTCCTGAAGTCCCCGAGCCGGTCACGGAGCCGGTCACGGAGCCCCCACGCACCGCCCCCCCCCCCCCCCCCCCCCGCCCCGCTGAGGGAGCTGCGCGCGCCCCCTCCCACTCACGCGCGCTCGGCCTCCGCTCCGCGCCTGGCGACGGCCCGTCCCGCCGGCACCGCCTCGCCACGCCCCCCCCTTCCCCGCGCGGCCAATCGCCTCCCGAAGAAGGGCCGGGCCCGCCGGCCAATCGCCAGCCGCCGTGTTCTGCGGCGGCCGTTGCCATGGGCACGGGGACGCCAGCCCCCCCCCCCGCTCCTCCCCCTCAGCACCCACCGGCCCCTTCATAACAACCGGAAAACAAGAGTTCAGCAGATTTTTATTGCTTTTGCCAACTTTCTGAAACGTTACAAAAGATAGTTTTATTCTCGCGGTAATTAAAACAACAAAGGCTGGATCTTTCACACCGAATACAAGTTTGAGAGTTGCGGTTTCGGTATAAACTGAATATTGATTCTGCATTTGGATTAAGGTTTTCATTTGCTTTGGATTGAGTTATAAAGTAAGAAAACGTCACTGTAATTAGAAAAGAAGTCATAAAAAATTCGAACCGTACAGTATGTAATCACATTTCAAATAATCAGTATTAAAATCCAAATCGTAGTTCAGCTACAGATGCTGAACCCTGGAAGACACCTTTGCGCAGGGGTATCAGCAACAACAGAACGAAAAATATTATAAAGTGTCTTGCCAATAAAATCATTTAGAAAAGTACTGATTTTCAAACCCATTCATTATTCCAAATAAATGTCAACAGATACTAAATTCAACACGAACGTGTCTTTAGATTAACTTCAATGCCAACTACAAAGTCCTATAAGTTTTCACTAAAAACGTTACAAAATAAAATCAACTTAAAATTACTAAGCAGTTTGCTTTATTTATAGCACTACTTTTACACTGATTCAAAGCTGTGTGCCTCTAGTCTTAAAATTTGCCATAAAATAAATTACGGTTGGTATAAACAATGTATTTCACACATTGGTACTGTACTTGGTAATTAATTTGACCTAGATGAGTAATTAAAACATTACTAATCGTACAAAGCAAAAAAGAAAACTAAGATCATTGTGGTGCTCATCTAACAGACTACATTGGTGAACTGAAAACCATGAACCATTTACCTGATGATTTACAGACCGTATGTACAAGGCAACCCCTTAAAGCGGTGCAGGCTCCGCGACGTGACACCTCTTTCTTACAGACACATTTCACAGCCGGTCGAACCTGCCTTTGCAAAGGGCACAAACTTGGAAGCTACCCCGAAGACAGAGGTGCAAGTGAAGCAAATTATAACTTACAGGAGAGCTTCCATTAAATGTAGAAAAAATGGCCAAGACATTTGGTTGAAAACTCCCACTAGGGCGCCAAATCCTACCCTAAGAGGTTTTATGATGACAAACTTGGCAATTTGGAACATTTAACTGAATAATCATGTAAGATATTACACTAATAGCTGCAAAATTAATGTAGGAAGAAAGTATCATTAACTTGGGCGTATGTAAACAGAATGAAAAGTGTGTCATTGCAATACATATGAAAATACTAAGAACGAATTTTGTAGAATATAATTTAAACACAAGACTGCATTTTAAGTGAAATATTTTAGATGATAATTTAAATGGAGTGGTCAAAATTAAGACCTACACTTTATGTAAACATTCATATTTATAAATAAATTAGAAAAAGGAAAAAAAGGAAGGAAAAAAAAAAAAAAAAAAAAAAAGAAGAGGGACTTCCTGAGGTGGCTCTGCAGCCAGATACACAGTAGCACTAAGCTCCATTCCGGGAAACCAAGGCATCTGAAAAAAGTGCAGGGCTGTTTATTTTCCTCTAACTGTTGGAACGGAAATACATTGGGTTAGTTTTTACAGGGCTTAACCCTTATGAAAAAAAAAAAATTAAAATAAAGTATCAGTGCACAGCAATTATCACTGCTCTTCTGCATCCATTAAGGCAAAATGGGTATCTACAGAGAGTAAACTACATCCTTAGCTGTTTAATACTATGTGTGATTTTAAACAAGAGGTGTACGATGAGCAGCGAATCACTTAACCATAGATTATTGATGGGGTTTTATGCACTTAGTACCAGATCTTCTCCTATTCATATGGGAAAAAAGTGCAAGTATAAAATGCTACTGACCAAGAACACTGAACTGAAGGTCACTGTAAACTGCTTTGTAAGTCATGGTATTTCTGGCAGCAATTAAAGTATCTACATAATTGAAATTAAATAAATACTGTGATTAGACTTGTGGGGCTTTGGTTTTGTTTCCTTTCAACTTCAGTAGAAAAATATCCACCTCCTGTAATATTGACCAACATTTAACCCTCCTGACATAGAAGCCAGATACAAGGTGTGCAGCACCAGGGAACCCTGATTTCTGCCATAAAAGAGTTAAAAATCTAAAGAGGCTTACAGTAATTTTTTCGGTCTTTGGAAGCTGTTGCAGGACTGTCAACATGAAGTGGAAAATACTACCAGGAAGACTAGCACAAAAGTAATGGGTTATGGATAACGACTACGTAAACTGCCCGAAATATCTTCCCTCTTTGATTCAGCAAGAGCTACTTAGTAGTCAACAACTGACATGCAGATAGGTACTTTTTTTTTTTTTTTTTTTTTTTTTTTTCTTTTTTAACAATGCAGAAAGTTCTGGGCAACCATCTGCTATAGCTTTACTGTATCTCCGTTTGACTAGAGGGAAAACACGGGTATTTTCTGATAGAGCACATCCTCAAGCTAAGGCACAAGCTACACTATTAGATAAGACTAAAGGAGCATCTATACAGGTCATCACACAGTATCGGTCAAATCAGTAACGCAGATCTCACTTGCTTTGCCACTGACCTCAGCCTTTGTCATGACAGTTTGGATACCATCATTCGTACTGCTGTACACTATGATTTACCTTCCTTAAACTGTCGTCTTGGAATTCAGCCAAGTGGAGAAAAAAAAAAAAACAAAAAAACAAAAAAACACAGAAAAACAAACACCCACCACCACAAAAAAAAAAAAAAAAAAAAAAGAAGATAAAACCCCCAAACCAGCATTATTTAACTACATTACATTTATAGGGAATGGTAACAGTCCATGTAACCTTAAAAACACTGATTTTAAATGTTTCTATTCCCCACTGATTGCTTTATTTTTGTAATATACAATAATCTTCTCTCCAAGACACTTGGCTGAAGAGCACTAGGATTCCACCTCAAGCGGTATTTTCAGATGAACTCTGCCCTCTTCCAAAATCAGCTCCTTTTGGGGTTGTTGAGAATTTTATCACATGGTCCAGGGCAAAACTCTCAACTTTGCCAAAAGCAGAATTAAGCAAACAGCACCTTCTAATTTTAAATGAGCACGGGGTCTAAATTAAAGCTGTTGTAATACATCCAGAAAGGGCTAGTGGCAAATCAGAATGTAAAGAGATCGCTTCGGAAATTAAAGCCAGAAAACTAAGTTGTAAGGCAAAAAGTATTAATAATGGAAACTGCGCACATAAGCGATCAAGATTTTCGTTTATACATAAAATTCTCATTATTTCAATTATTATAATGCTAAACACTAGAAGTTGAAAATGTAAGTACAATAAATGCACTGACTGCATCTTTATCAGTGAGCCTCAAAAATTTACTTTAATAAATGAATATTTACTTTTTCAATTCATCTTCCATGATAAAAATTTATACTAATTAAAATAAATAAAACGTTTAAAAATAAGTTGGTGTGCTATCATATATGCCCTTTACAATGGAGAGGATCAGAACTGTACACACAAATACCACAAGCAATTTGTAATCCATAAAATAATACTGATCATAAGCCTACTACAGAATTAAACTACAGCTAATTCAATCAAATACAGAGTAAAATTAAAAATTAATTAAGCAAGAAATATATTTGATGAGGACATGAACTACTCTAAAGTTTCAGTCCTAGAGCTCCGTAAATCAGACTCTGAAAGTCAATGGAAAAAAATGCAAATAAAACAGGAACAAAAGAATTCAAGAGTACTAGCGTGGTAAGTATGCTTAACTTCCTATAGACCAAATTGCTGTCTAAATGTAATTTATATTGTGTAAACATGGAGTGTCCAGAATGGCAAATACTGACCTGGGCCTGTAACTACAATTACTGCACTCGCACTGCTAACTGGGCAATAATGAAAAAAATCAAGAGTGGATTAAAACAAAAGAAAAAAAAAAAAAAGTATCAGAACAGGGTGTTCATATGTATTTTAAGGATAATCACCTGACTTAGGGCTCGAGGCCACTTCACTAAAATAGGAGAGACAGAATCCAGAGAACACGAGCATGTAGTGGAGACACAAAACGCAGTAGTTTGTGTCAACTGCACATTAATATTTGTTCTATGAAATCACAGAAGTAGTATATACCCTGCAAAAACAAGCAGTAATTGCCTGCATGGAAAACAAACTACTGTAGCGCACATTACAAACAGAGGTATTGCAAAACTTTAAGCAATGTGGACCAGTAATCATCAGCAAAAGCTGATTTAACTTTTAAGCACATTTGGATTATTGAAAATAATAGGCATTCATTACAATCTTCCTATTTAAAAATGAAAATAAAATTTCCAATAAAATAAATAGCTGAAGTGTGATTACCACTCATCTTATTTGTAGGAAAATCTTCTCATTATGCAAGCGTCATATCTACAGTGCCCTAAACAATGGCAGAATTAAATACATGTTGCTCCTTAAACTGGCAATCACACTTCCATGGTATAATATCCTACAGTGATATATATACACACACAGATACACGCAATTCCCCTTGCTTCAGTTCTATAAAGACGTCTCAGCATCCACGTATTTCACAACAGGTGAATCTTCTACATTTATTTTCACACTTTCTGGTTTTTCAGGGCTGTTCGAAAGCAAAGGGAAACACATAAGGCTTGGTTCGCTTAAGTAAAGGTCAACTTGCAAATATTTTATACTTAATAATGAACACTGGAGGTATTTATGTAAGGACACTTATGATTATGCATTTGTATTAGATTCCAGTAATTGTTAAATACTATTCACAGCAACAGTACAAGCTTCAAGACAGAAATGACCAACATCTCATCTATAAATACCATTTCCAGTCCCACTCCTTTTACTGATTCTATTGATTTGAAATTGTTCTGCAAAACATCTTTTGAAAAAAAAAAAAAAAAAAAAACAAAAAAAAACAACACAGCAAAGAGAACAACACAAACCAAAAAAACCACAAAAACGTCTGTTTAAAAATACTCCAAAATACGTAACAACCAATATTATTAATACTGCTTAATTACTGGGCAGGGAAAGAATTTTATTCAAGACTGGGAAAACATTGCAGTCTCTTCAAACTCGGGAAGCACACTTGTAAGGGCAGGAGAGAAGAGCCAGAAATCTGTGTAAGTGTCCAAGTGGCAGACCCTAAAGACACCAGGGCGGCTGGCACCTGAGCAGCCGACACGCTTCGGCAGCCAGACACTGAACGGCGGCTTATCCGAGGACAGAAGGGAAGGTCCGGGGGTCGTTACAGGCCAGCAGAAGAGAAATGGGAACAGCGTACGAGGGAGGATTCCCTAGGTATGGATTTCAGAGGAATTGACACGTCTGAGGAGCTGCTCTTTAAGGAAAAAAATGTATTAGAAATTCATGCAAAGAGAAATATTCTGGATTCCTTAGAAAATATAAGCGTGCCTGGACCCCGCAGAGTCTACAGAATAGGAGAGATGGTGGAGGGAGAAAGAAAAAGTAACCCCGATCAGTTCAGGGAAGACACAAAAAAAAAAAAAAAAAAGAACGAAAAATAATTTTTCTAAAAAGGTAAGATCTTTAAGAAATAATGCCAACCTACGCAACATGTCATCTGGAATTCCAAAACACTGATTGCTTCAATCTTCATCCTACTTGAAACCTGTACCTCTAAAAACCAGCAGTGCATGCAGAACCATTTTCACCGCAGCACTAAACGTTTTTTCCATACTATCACATGAAGACCGTTACACAGAAAAACCTTAGCAGAACTGAGATGAAAAATTTACTGGGAATTACTTCTGACTGAGCTGTGGTGACACCTCCAAGTACCTCCAGACCCCCCGTATAAGAAAGGGTCGCAAAGACCTGAGAGAGCACCCACGGGCGGTCACGCTCGGGAAGCCCTGCCTTCTACCCACATCCACACAAGATCAGGTGGCCTCCTGAAAGAGCGAGCTTCCAGCACCAGTGGTTTTATCTTCAGTTTGCAGTTTTAGCAAGTTCCCTTCCAAGATGCAATATTTGCCATGCTAATCTCAAAGAAAGCACGTTATGGAATCAAATCTTATCTATAGTAAAATATAAAAAAATAGATGGAATACTGAATATGACCTAGGTATATACATATAATTCTATACTAACTTATCCTACTCAGGAAGCAGGAAAGCACAAGGTGAAGTTGCACTAACTTCTAACCTGCTTGAAAAGCATATCTAAGAATTTTAATTCTTCTGGGAAGAGAAGCACAGGTCTGTATCTCTCCCAGCCTTACATACCCAAGGACTATCAGAAGTATCCACAAATTCTGTAACAGGTTTCTGAGAACTTAGCATGAAAGAAAATAAAGAATTAAAGGAGGAGGATATACTGACAGACATACTCTGTTTTCTAATGCCTCTATTACCTAACTTCCTGACAGCCTAGATCATGTGATATTCAAGTTCTTCAAAATGTGTTTATTTAAAACCTGTATTTAAACACTTTTAAACGTTTAAATGGTACAGGTTGAAGATTCACTGAACACTAACGAGTTTCTTCAGTTTTTCCTATTACAACACCTCCACATTCTCTCCTTGTCCCTTCCTTCACCCTTGGTTGAGCTACTGTATGGGCAAAACAAAGCGCATTTCCGCGCCAGGTTTGAAGCCATTCATGTGCTGAATAAACAGATGATGTACAAGGGCTAAGTGGCCAGTCACTACTGCTGTTCCACGATGCAAGCTCCACAGTATCCGATAGCTTGAATAATTATGTACTAACACTCCCTCGCCACCAACTCTTTCACCAAGACGTATTTTTATACAAAACTTGGCAATTCCGTACCTCTGAAACCTGACTTCCTTTGTCAGATTTGTCTGAAAGGGATCAACCAAAGGAAGATGCACGTACAGACAGCAGGATTGCATAAATTTAGTTTTCTGAGTCAACCAGGCCTGGTCTCCCCTTTCTTGCACAGTAAGTCGCATTGTGATGGAATAGTCTACAGATACCAGTCCCTATAAATTACAAGCCTTTCAGGAAGTTTGCGATATTTCAGATAAATATTCAGGATCTGGTCTGTTCCCCGTGACAGATTCAGCCAGAGAGGTAAGAAACTAGGCTAGAAGAGCAGAATGATTCATTACACACAGGCTTTCTTGTTTGATGGGGAGCTCACGGAGAAAGAGGCTCCTGGCCATGACAGAAGATGCATGTCAGCTTATAGGAAATGTTCGTTCATAGCACCAACAACTCCTAATCTGTCCAGTATTTCATTCAAGTTTATTTCACATCCAGTGAAGAGAATATTTGAGCAGGTTTAATTTTTAGAGATTAAAAATGAGCTGGGGAGAAACGAACCAGCCAACCAACTCACACACAAAAACAGATCCTAGGGCAGCATAAAGCAACAACAGAAGTGTTGGACTTACCTTTTATTCCCATGGGAATTTGTAATGTTCAGGATCAAACAATCCCATGCTCATACACACTCTAGTAAAGCTTTTAGAAACCCTAAGCCCAGAGTAGCAAACAACTGTATTAAGCAAATAAAGAGTAACTTTAAAATTGCAATAATACATCTAATAAAGCAATGAGAACTCCTTATAGAAACTGTTCAACTTCAGAGTAAAGAGCAAAAATTAAGTTCAAATTCAAGTTCCTCAAAAGTAGGAAGTCAATGCAAATTTACAAACAACATAAATTCATTTTTTTGAGATACATTTCAAGAAACAGAAGTGCAGCTATTAGCTGCTAAACACAAGACCATCGTTAGAAAACGCACGAGTAATTATAGCTACCTCAGGTTAGCTCTGGTTACTTTGGCATTCTCAGTACTCATGGCAAGAGCCTTCCACTGTGCAGTTTTGGCCATTTCGTCTGATATGTTTACAACTGAGGGATCAATGCTAAAGAACAAACATACTTTCTGGTTAGTATTCAATACCTCGCAACAGCATTGTATTTACTGTCACTCATCATTTACATCAGTTGTACCTTCTTTCAATATTTACGCAGCCACGAGTTGAGTTAATCTCTTACAAATGTATTTCAACAAAAATCTGAGAATGTAACTGACTGGCACTGCCTTAATCACGTAACGTCTTACAACAGTTCTTCAGATAGATACCATTGAGACGTTGAGAATATCTGAGATCTCATTTTTAAATTACCTGTAACTTCAGATAATTATTTCTCATACTCAGAAATAATGAAATTAATCACCTTGTTCTGCTAAGACTTTCATAAATCAGAATTATTTTAAGTTGTTTCCAGGAAATAAACAATAGCAAAAGAGCAGACGTTAATAAAATTCTGAAACTGGTAACTCGGTTGATATTTAAAACTAGTAAAAATCTAGAAGTCCCAATTATTTAGACAGATTTCAAGTTATTTTCTTCCTGCGGAGTTGTACTAGTCATTTTTAGAGGATTTTTTGCCACCATCCCCCCAAGTCCTGCAGAAGAGAAGTCTACCCTCACAGATGGCAAGCCTTCAAAACTTATTTCTCCCTTTGCCCTCCACACATTTGTATGTATTTAGGTGTTGTCTGCAGATATATTTTCTGTTCCATTCCACACTTAAGCTTCAGAATCTACTCCAGGGTATCTGTACGAGTTCTTCAAACTGCATAAAAATCCTTCGAAGCCATTCTTCCCCAGGATCCTCACAAGATGCACCGCAGTGAAATATACAGTAAACACACATGCATACACTCGAGGAAATTGCAGTTCTACTGTGAGAGCAAGTAATTAGCAACTCCAGCGGTTTTTGAAAAAAGCTTTAGCATTTTCACTTGAGTTGCCGAAGTCTGATGAAGCCTGCTCCTGGAGCAGACAATAGCACCCAGCAGGAAAACCTGTCTAATCCAAAAATCTGCCGGTTCCCAGCTCAGATCAGGGTAGACCTGACACCACCCCAGATCCACAGGAAAGCCAGTTCTTAACCTAGGAACCCTCAGTAATGGAGAGGCAAAACAAGCTGGCCAGCTCTTGATCTGTCACATCATCTGGGTGTGCTGAACAGTTGTAGAACACCTGACAGCTAAGCTGAACACAGCCCCGGAAAGGGAGATACGTGCTGAGACAAAAACCCTTCCAGTGCTGGAGGAACTTCCCACCAGTGAAATCCCAGCACTGCCTTCTCTGGGAGAGAACTGTAACGCTGTCCTCAAATTTACTCTCAGAAAATGACCTTTTAAAGTAAAAACAGCTGCCTGTAGAAAGGTTTGGTGGTTCATTTTTCTTTTTTTTTTTTTTTTTTTTTTTTGTTTTTGGGTTTGTTGGGTTTTTTTTGTATCACAGAAATTATAGACTTTAGCCCTCACTTTAATAAACCAAGGAACTGCACATTTAGACTTTTCCTGAAAAACCCAAGTGGCTGGTAAACACATGGCTCAACTGATGCTATTAGTTGCTTAATACTCAGCATTTCATGCACAGTAACACACACGTATTCCACAAAAACTGACCAAGGACGCTTCCTCACCTTGAGTACAGCTTGTTGAAATTGAGTCATCTGATCTGTTCAAGATGGTCATGTAAATTTATAATTAAGATGCAGTTTTAAAGAACAGTGCAACATAAAAATGCTACTATAGCACCATGAAATGTACCTTCATACTTCCTAATCGTGGCTTGGGGTCAAAAAAAGTTAATCCAACTCATACACAGTGAACTTAATATAAAGCAAAATACAGCACGTGATAATAAAAAAAAAACAAAACAAAACAAAACAACACAACAAAACAAAACAAAAAAAACTCTTAAAGACCAACATTCTTTCATACCTGTATTTTAGGGTTTTTACAGGAAAATCCAAATTTGCATCTCCATATGCAAGGTGTACACTTTCATTGTCTCCCGTCTGAAGCATTCTCTCTGCTTCCTGTAAATTCCAAGTAAAAAGTTCATAAAATTACTCATGCAGCAGAAATGGAAGTAGTATCTCACGCTGATGATTCATTTCCACTGGGGTCAAGGGCATTTCCCTGCGGGTACTGGAGTTGAACACAGGGGAGGCAGGTTAAGACCTTTTTTCTTAGAAGTGTTTTATCCAGGTAAGGGGAATGGGGAAGGGAGGGTGTTACAAGTTTTGTAACGAATTCAGCTAGCTGGTGTAGGTAGGTAAGACTTTTACGGAGAAGTTTTATGAGCTATATTACTATATTGCTGGTAACTAGCAGTTGGTTTTAATTACAGGTCTGCAATCACACACAAGCAAAATGTCCCCGATAGGATGAACAGTTTTGTAATTAAACAACCGTATCCCACTGCTTTTCTATCCCTCTCCCTTTATTCTCCTTCTAACCTGATGAAGGACAAAGAAAACAACATTCTGTACTAAAAATTGCTTCTTTTCATTTTGCTTGCTAATTTTAATAACAAATAAGAATCACAGTTCATAACAGCATCATTGAAACAGTGACTTTCCCTCATCTTCTTTGCCAGTAACAGTTCCTCTAGCATTAAATCTCATTAGCAAAGAATTTTAAAACGCTTATTTGGAATGTAGGGTCATATGCTCCAGGCACTTAAAATTCCTTTAAGTCTCATCAAGTACTTTATAGTAGTTTACAACATCCTTAGTTTGACCGTTTTCACACTTACTGCTTTCTCTTTTTTCTTCTTGTCATCTTCTTTCTTCTTTTTACTTTCTGGCATAAGATCATCAAGCCAGCTAAGCTCTCTTTTGGTGAAACATAAATCCATGAGCTTGCGAATGAACACCAATGCTAGGACCTTAAGGGAACCAGAAATGGAATAATTTACATTAGACTTTTTAAAGAAATAAAAATGCACACACACACACTTTTAATACCTTCCGAATCTCTAACTGAAGGCCTTTCTCATTGTGGTAAGATAAAACCAGCACTAAGTGAAATGATTTCCACTTTCAATAGCTATTCCTAACTGAAGTGTTTATTTTCAGGAAATGAAAAGTCCTTGTGTTTCCAAAGTGAACAACTTGTACTACACGTTCTTCTGTTTCTTACCCACTCCCCTCTTCCTTAGGGCAGCAAATACATTCTGAAGAGATTCTGGATGATGCACATACTTTTGGAAAATTATTAACTTGTGTAACAGAAAACTTACCATCATAGGGAAAACAACAGCGGCTGCAGAGGCTTTGATCACCCACAGCAGAACGAGACAAGTGAGCTGAACAACTGTAAAGATATGGACCTTCCAGAGCGGCACATAACGCAGGTAAATCAGGTCAGGTTGATGTTTGGCAGGCATTCCAAACAGTTTTATACGGTCAAAAAACTGTATGGAAAAATAAAATTGTCCTTTAGTTAATTATTTTCTTCCCCTCTGGAAGAAAATAAACATTCTCAGGGGACTCCAGAAATGTAAGTTAATCCCAAATAAAATACTAACAAAGGACACTGAACGTTCAGTGGGGTAGGCTTGGGGGACTGTTTCGTGGTGCTGGGTTTTTTCTCCCCCTCATTACTATTACAAAATTTCAGAATATTTCAGATAATTTGTTGATCAGCTACACTACTGAAAGAATAAATACAAGAACTGAGAAGTGAAGGCACAACGTGGCAAGAACAAATATCCAAACATGACACTCAAGAAATGATCTTGCACAATATTCAGACAATATGGGCTAACTTTATCATTGCTCATATAAAGTAATGTGTTTCCTTTTCATTTAGTGTTAAGCAAAAGCAAATTCTCATTAAAATCAGACTTTACCTGAATGCCTTTTAATGAAGATACTCCCATGTAAAGAAAGACGCCATACAAAACCGGCATTGGAATAAACTGGGGAGGAAAACACACCCACACAGTTACTTGTGGAGCCCACATGGTGTAACACAGCTGCCCATATTAGTGAGGCACATGGGCCAAGTTATTTTACTTAAGTGAAATCTGTAAAAGCTGAGGCTCTTTTAGAGAATATACATGCATCGCTGAGCAGCAAAAAAGCCTCGAGCTAACAAGGCCATCACCAGGATTAAAAAAGTGGTTTTGTCTTGACTGCCCATTCATTCCATTTTCTAGGTTGCAACCCAGATTTCGATTAATGCTAAGGATGCTGCTTCATGGTGCTACCTGACAGGAACTGTATGGAGACCACCAGTTTCAGGAAACTGCCATATGAAGTTTTACTCCTGATCACTAATCTTGCGTTTCTTGAGCAGACGAAGCAAAAAATCCACCATACCTACCGAGCTAAGAACATCTGCTAGTTATTCAGGACTATATTTTGCTCCAATAAGGCCAATTTTGAGCTAAGATAATGAAGTTGTCCACTGGGTTCAGTGGCACTTGCACCAAACGTCTGCAGCCTACACAAAGCAAGCGAAGCTTTCTTTGCTCCTGAATTCACAAAACTTCTGAGTAAAGGACAGCCAAGACATAATTCCAAATCTTAATAAAAACTGCTGCTATCAAGTCTGAACAAAAGCTTTAACTGAAACTTAAATATCGAGGAATACATCTACGCCATAAGGATTAATTACTGCACATATATATATATATATATATATATATAAAAGCAGGTCTCTTCAGTGTAAGCTCCATAATTGGACATGCTAGTACTTCACTTATGTTAACTTCTACTGCATTAATCAGTATAAATCTATACACAGAAGAAAAGCACAACCACCTAGAGATGCAAGGCTCTGTTCTCCCTTTTTTTGAACAATAATAGCCATTAGCATTGATAAAGAAAAACATTTCATAAAAAGTAATAGTAATACCATTCCTATTACCCCTTGGTTCCATAAAAAAACCCAAAAATAGTAGTTTCTAAGAATCAGATGTTAAAACATAAACATCTAGCTTCAGCAAACAGCACTTTTCTCTATTGCTTTCAAGTAACAATAAATCTATTTCAGTATTTCTGCTTTTGATTCTGATCATCCGCATTACACAGCTAAGCTCTTGGTTGAAAAGCTTTTCAACCAGAGATTGTAGAATCTGAAGACTCATTTTTAATAACGGTTACTGCCTTATTGTTTCCAGACCTTTACATTCTTTAACACAAATGGTCAACTATTAAGAATTGATAATATGTGGCTCTAATTAGGAAACTGGTTGTATGTTCATAGGTTTATTTCTTTCCATTATCTAAACTTAAACAGCCATTACAAGTTACTTTTTTTTTTTTTTTTTGTGAAATGACTGGAGATCTGTCTTTAAACAGACTTTTACAAAGTTCTTCAAAAATATTAGCAATTATGCAATTTATGCCGTATCTGCTGTTCTGGCAACAAAAAGACAGGTTTTTTTAATTTCTCCTTTTAGCTACTGGATTTGAAACAACAAAGCAGAAGTTGAACAGATTTCACTGAACTCTGAGCAGAAAGCCAACTGAAGTGATTGGTTTTATTCTCAAAAAAGTCTTCAGATGGGTACTACTGACACAAATTATGAGACAAAGTGTAAACTGAGGTCACAATATGACCTGAAAGACCTATTACAGCATGAGAAGTAAACAATGTAATTTCTGATGATCACTTTGTTTGTTTCTTCTGCTACATTCTATTACTTCCACTCAAGTAACTGTATCTTTCTCACATTCCTTTTCTCTCTCCATTTATGCACTCCCATGAAAACTACAGGAGAGCTGTTATAGGTAACATGGACTCCAGAAACTAAAAAACAGCTGGCAAGAAAATCAGCTAACATGGACAAAGGTTGCTTTCCTCACTACTCCCTACAGTTCTAGCTTGCTCATATTTCATTTTCTTACATCTCCCCCACCGTTTCTATTCAACTAACCCTTGTTGTCAAAAAAAGCCATTTGAGACCGAGTCTAGGCATATTTTACTTAACATAATAAAACTTGCTAACATTGTGAAATGCTAAATCACACTATCAAAATCAAAAGCAAAAAGAAAATACAAATATTTCGGAAAAAATTGTCTTTTACCTTTAACACGGACGTCATGAACACTGACAGCCCCATCAGGACAAAAATCATCAATCCTGTCACCCGCTGCTCCCGGATTCCCAAAAACTTCGGTTGCTCTCCTGGTGCTGAGCATTCAGATTCAACTTTCAGGCTGTTAACGTGACTTATAGACAGGACAGTTGCAGCAACAAACCATGGTAAACCCATAACAGAACATATCCCCAACATAACACCAACCATGAGCAGGTCAAGGTGATAACCACAGCCTTTCTGTAAAATTAAGCAAACACATCATTTGACAAACTTTCTATTTGTATGATACCATACCTACAACTTAGCTGGTAAATAACAGATAACTACAACAGTTACATGCTTGGAGAGTCCACAAAATTATATTTGTTCTTTATTAGTCAATATATGCATCTATTTAGTAGCTGCTGGTAATGTTTCCATTTTCAATTAAACTCAGCTTACGCAACATCAGTTTTGTGAAAATTACTTTTACCTTCAGCTTATGCTCTTTCCTGTTTATAATAACAGCTGTTATTTGCTGATCCATGAAAATGAGAATGGTACAGAGCAAAGCAGGGACCGCAGCTATCAGAAGTGTCCACCAAGGATTGCTTCCGAGAGGATCTATGAACCACCCTCGGTCTTTCCGGGTGGGCTGAAAAAACAAGCATCAACGACCAGAATTAATGACCAAAAGAAAATGCAGATTTTATTGCTACGAACAGCTGCAATGAACAGATTAACAGCCTCTTAAATATGTGTTTAGATTTTTTTCCAATGGCTCGGACCAAAAGATTGATTTAGCGGTTACATGTGAACATGACATTTATATGGGAGAAATTCAAACAAATCCATTGCGTTCCTTCATTTTTGTACATTTGCATAAAAGAAAGCTTCCTTTTCAGTGGTACCATAATAGGAAGTACAGTTTCTTCTGTCAGATGAGCCATACATCCAAAACAGAAAAAAGAGATTACTTCATCAACTACATTGCAAGTAAAAAAGGTAAATTTCTGTTTCTATATAATTCTGTTGTTCTACTGTCTATGAAACTGCAAGCCTTTAAAAAGTGAAGTTTTTTAAAAGGTTTTATTTCTTACTTCAAACTTCTCTGGAACATGAAGCTTAGGAGAAGGCACTCCAACAAGATAATCAATCAAAACCATGATTACTATGGTCAGAAATACCGCAAAGTCACTGATGGTAGAACGCACCTATAAAGAAAAGACTTGTATTAACTCCTGCTTTTTCATCATTATAATCTGCACACACAGCAAGACAGTTTTCTTCCCTATGAATAGTGAAGTGTATTTATAATATGCTACACCATTGAATATTATACATATTTTCTCTTTTTGTTAGAAAATTTGAGGTGTCTGACAGCATAGCATGAAGTTGCAGAAGGTAAGTATTCTGTACAGCTGTTCGTCCAATTATCCTATTTTAAATGGATCTACTGCAAGAAGCAAATTACTTCAAATAACTCCTTCCTCATCTTCCTGTCTCCTTAACTCTACTAGGAAGCTGTGCCATCACACTAGTAGCTGGTAGCCTAGTTCAGTAGCATCACTGAATTGTTCTGAAATCAATATTCATATATTTGATGTTTTAATAGATAGAAGAGGGCTAATTTACAATAGATTCAGGTTACCAAAGGTGACTTTATTAAACAGTAGGGACACATTGGAGGGATAAGCTGATATTTATAGAATATCTAACCAATTTATTTTGGCAAGCAGAAGGTGCATAAATCAGTCCAAGGATAATCACTGTATCAGCCTCTATGGGAAACAGTAATCCCCTGAGGAGCCGCTCAGGACCCTTCATACGTCAGCAGTTTGGGGAAGGCATTCCACTGTTCTCTACAGCTACGTGAGGAAATCAGCAGCAGTATTATCTCCCCAAATAATACCTGGCAATACTCATTAACACGGGGAGACAGATTATTTAAGTCTTCTAATGTTCAGACTGTTTTCTTGTAACTATAGGAAAGTGGAGAGTAAACACTGAATTTTCTGCAGCCAATTTATTTCCTCTGACTTCTTACTTTTTGAAATTATTAGCTAATTTTCTATTTTTAATTTCTTTTTCTCTTAAAAGGAATCTCTCAATACAGAGTTCTGAAGCAAAACAGAAAATTCAACTCCATTAAGTTATACGAATGTATTTATCACAAGGCAACAATAGTCTCTAATCAGAATTACCTTAGTTGGGAAATAGCGTTTGGTCTTGAATTGCTTAAGGAAAGAAGAGAGGAAAAATGTTGTAAAGAATAGTATGACAGACCAGAAGAGAACATCTGGAATATATGGTCCATGATGGCCACAAGCTGATCCACGAAACACACCATGAAATTCTAAACATTCCTGTAAAGAGAAAAAGTCCTTAAATTTCTACATTTTACTCATTTGGTACATTCAACCTAACTTGCATTTTTTCAAAATAAAACAAATTTGAGAAACTCCATAATCCCCAAAACGGGTTCCTTCCTTCATCACAACCTCATCCCAAAATGCCAGAAATGTGTGCTGTCTGTTCCAGAAGAGCCACAGTACCATCACTGACTATTTTGGGATGCCAAAATGCTGGGAGATGCCCAAGAAGAAACAACTTCTTTGCATTCACCCCATTTCCATTCTACTTCTCAAAGCATCACAAGATTGAATGCATAAATAAACACTGGGGACTAAGCCCTGGAAGAGCAGACCATCCAACACCAACTATCGAGCTAATGAACATAAAAAGGGGCTCTCCTCCATTTCTTCCACCACTTTATTCTTGACTTTGTTTTTTTCCTGATACAGTCAAGGAATAAACAGACTTTTACAAAACGAGATTAACTCAACTGCAAGAAAAAAAGCTTCTAGTAAAGTAGGAAAGCATCATAAATAATGGATTTGAATAAAAAAAGAAAACGAAGTGAGACGATCCGTATTTAAAGGCTCACTGAAATGAAAAGTAAAGAATTAATGTAGACATATGGAGTGTAAGGAAAGAACAAGCCAATAAACCAAACAGAAGCAGCATTACCACAACTCAGTCTTTATGCAGGTCAATTTTTCAAAAATTTAACTTATGACAAAAATTCTCCCCATTAACAATCTACTTTGATTATAAGCACCACCAAATCGTAGAACAGTTCTGTCTCTCCAGGAAGACTAAAGATGCTGAAGAGAACAAAAAAGTTTATAAAATAAATATAAAAACTTAGCTGAAGAGAAATTGCCATCCTAGGTGATTACGGTAGACTAGGAGCCATCGGTAGTACACAGAAAACACTGCAGCTAAAACTCAAGTAAAGCCCTGAGGCTTTTCATAGGGTTTTTTCCTGTGCAAAAGACCTATTTTCAGTGTGAACATCTAGGCTCACACACAAGGAGAGCCTATACTCGAGTATCTACCACCATTTTAGACAGCCCAGGGTGGCCAAAGTAGGCACACACAGCTAGCAAATGTAACACAGAGTCAGTATCAGATCCAAACCATGCAAGATGTAGGTGGAAACCAGATGCCAGGGTATGCAAAGTGACTGCAGATAGCTGCATTTAGGCAACTGAATCCCACCGAAGGAACTACTCATCAGCAAATACATTTCTTCCGAAAAGCCTTTGGTATCACTTCCACGCGTTAACTTTACTCCTCTCCACCTAACCCACAAAATTCGGTTTGGTTACAAAATACCCAGCCCACAATGTAATACTTTCAAGCCTATTCCTTCAAATAGCTCTTCCCCTTTCCCTTTAACCCTTAATTTTCAAAATATTTTATTCCAATCAATATTTAGGTAGTTTCTTTGAATCTGTTATAGCTTTATATCAGTGTCTAAATCTAATGAAATGTGTTTGCTACCACATTTTAACTGCAGATTCCATCTTCACATCATCTTAAAAATATTTGTTGATCCTTTCCAGGAAACTGAAGGAAGCAATCTCCTAGTTATTCACCTCATCGTATTCATCTGCACTTCAGAAAGGAGGCTGTTCTGACTACCAGGATTAAAGTGGCTACCTCAAGCAGACATTTATGATAGTAGCATTTCTTGCCATGGACTTGCCCATCCAAACCACTACAAGGACTGTTTAAAGCATTATGAGAAGAATAAAAGAGTTCAAAAATACAGTTTTAAAGAAAACAGTCCAGGTTCAAATCAAGAAAGAAACCAGATGTAAATATTGATCAAGACTGGTACTGGGTGGGCATTTATTTTTTATACATACACACATGCACGCACACAAACTCACATATATCTATCTATCTATCTATCTATCTATCTATCTATCTATCTATCTATCTATCTATCTATCTATCTCTCTATATAGATATCTGTCTCAAATACTCACAGAAACTGTAAGGTTACTCCATGCTATATTTTCCACAGACTTATTCATACTCCTCCACACCTGCAAAGTTTCATTGCTGGGTTTCTCAGGCTCAGAACATACACATCTGAAGAAAAAAAGAGAAAAAAAAAAATTTACATGCTTTTAAGCCGTGTGTGCCAAAATGCAGCAGTTTTCAGTAGTTTCAAAAATCCTGAAGAGTGTAAATCAGAGTTTATCCCAACCTGCTAGGAAAGGAGCTGAGTACAAGGCTCCTTACATGACACAAAATAGGAGTATTGGTGGGCAGGGAGGGGGGGTGGAAAAGAAGAATCAGAGGCAACCGCTCAGGAGGTTTAAGAGGTTGGACAAAAACCCCCACTATGTATTTCAAAGAATTAGAAGTAGGCAAGAAGTTGTCTTAAAAAACAGACAGATCAGTCAAATAGTTAACTGGAGTAATGCCTGAAAATAAAACGAAATAGATAGTATTTGTGGACTTCTACCTATTGTGGATAAAAGATGAAGATAAAAATCCAAATGACACCACTTTTCAACAACCCTAGACTAATATATACTGTGTTATTTCTAAAAATTTCTACACAATTTGACTAACTTGGCACAAATAGTTGTCTATGACTGTGTACAAGTTAAGGTTTTTAGATTTATATACAGCATAACAGCCCACAGTGAGTCCAACTTCAGTTAGTCCTACTGTACACCAACGTAAGAGAAAACAGAGAGACTGAAACCATTTAACTTGGAACACTGACGCAGATGACTCAATTTCAGCAACTCCTTTTCAAACCAGACACGTCATTATCCTCTAGATGTTCCCGAGTCTTTTCTAAAATTGTTGTAGTCAGCCATTTATCTTGCATTTGGCATGCCTTCTCATCTACACATGAACAAAACTAGTCACCCTGAAGACACCATTTCTGAGTATGTAGGGGGCTAACTGAAAATATAAATGCATAAATTGCTCAGACTTAAAATAGCTGCATACGTGCATTTTTAATAATTTTTCGTACAAAAGTAAAAGTGCCCCTCCCTACTGCAGTGGTGTGCAAACCTGGACTGCAGAATCCTTTCTGCCAGACAGGGCGACAGAAGTACACATCAGTAAAAAAAACAAAACAAAACAAAAAATCTCCACAACACACTGAATATTGATTTAATACAATGTTTTCAAATAAATCTCTTCAAGTACACAAAACCGTGAGCTTAACATGTAAACATTATAAAAACATGTGAAAAATACAGCTCCTTTTCCTATGGGATTCATCAAGATAGTGAAAAACAAAGAGTCATGGAAGAGTCATGGAAGAGTCATGGAAGAGTCATGGAAGAGTCATGGAAGAGTCATGGAAGAGTCATGGAAGAGTCATGGAAGAGTCATGGAAGAGTCATGGAAGAGTCATGGAAGAGTCATGGAAGAGTCATGGAAGAGTCATGGAAGAGTCATGGAAGAGTCATGGAAGAGTCATGGAAGAGTCATGGAAGAGTCATGGAAGAGTCATGGAAGGGCAAACTTGCATCCTGATAGTGTGAAGGTAAAGGAAGAAAAAGCTCTAAATGTGCATGGGCAAAAAGAACCTAGATTTCAAAGCACAACATTTAGGGATCTTAAAAAAAATGATTAAAAAAAAATTTATTTTAATAACTGAATCCTAAAGTAACAGCAAAAGAAAATAGTAGAAGACTGGAAAGCAGTAATTACTGATTGCAGTTATCACACAGGAACTTAAAAATCATCAGAAGAGAAAGGAACTGCAACAATAAATACGATGAGAGAAAAAAAAAGCATCTTCAGTTATTGGTTAAGGTGAACAAGCACACTGAAGGAAGACTGACAGACAAATTTCTCAACAAATGCAATGACGATAAAGGATGACACCAAGTAGGTAAGTGGAAATCCAGGAAGAAAAATTAAAACCAGAAAATGCAAGAATATTTGAGACTGTCTTCTGTCTCACTTCTCTAAAGATGCTTGTTCCACACTCTCTTCCCCACTGCGGGTACAGAAGCCGGGGGGGGTAGGTGGGAAAGAGGGGAAAAAAAAAAGCAATTGTGGAAGTCTGGATGTCCTACAGCTCTGTGATAGGAAAAAAATACAGGACAAACCAAAGGTGAAGTCTGGGGCAGGTCCTGAAAGAGCTAAACCAAGCATACATCACGCTTCCCTCCGTCCACCCTCGGGGCTTGCCCACGCTAGCAGAACACAGCCAGGTGGCAAGGGGCAGCAGACCCACAGCCCAGCTTCTGCCAGATTAGGGAATTTAACCCGGGGGACCCAGGCGGGAGCAGCCTGTTCCTGGGGGACTGCCTGCACCCCGCGGAAGGGGCCGACGCTGCACCGGGGGGAGCGCGAGGAGGACGGGACAGCAGAGACAACGCGGGAGGAACTGTCTGCCGGCCTCCTTCCCCACCCCCTGCGCCGCTCAGCACGAGTACACAGAGAAACTGGGACTGAAGTTGAGCCCAGGAAGAAGGGAGGGGTGGGGGGAAAGTGTTTTTAAGATTTAGGTTTTATTTTCTCCTTCCCTTGCTCTGATTTGATTGGTAAGAAATGGAATTAAGTTCCCTAAGCCAAGTCTGTTTTGTATGTAACAGCAATTGCTGAGTGATCTCCCTCTTCTTATCTCCACCCATGAGACTTTCATCCTATTTTTCCCCCCCCCCCGTCCAGCTGAGGAGAGGGGGTGATCGAGGAGTTTGGTGGGCACCTGGCATCCAGTCAAGGTCAACACACTACAGGTAGATAATACACAACTGCCACCGAAATAAATCACATGTAAAAATGATACATCTAGATAGCTTGCTTATTGCATTACTTAAATGAAATAAAATTATTTTTGTACTGAGAGTTTGACTGCTCGTTACTATAACGAATAGAACTAATAATTCTACTTAGTCGGGAAAGAAAAAAAATATGGCTGTAATGTATTTTCTATTATTCTCCTCTCTCTCAGAAAATAATTGTTTAAAATTCAAGCCTTCTCCCATAATGACAGTCGAAAGCAACACTGTTTAAAGATGCTAACTGCATGTTCTTAACATTTGAAAGTTGCAGAAGCTCTCCATGCCTCGGCTACCTGGCAATACTCCTCACCCAGGTGGGGTAAACTGTTCTTTCTTTCTAGAAACGGCAGGCATAACTCCTGTTCTGCCCTTTCATCTCCAGGCTAACCTTTTCTAAAGCTGCAATTAAAGCAGGCATTGTCACAGCCCCTCATCCCTTCCAACCACCCATAGCTAACACAGAAAATTCAATTCCACAGCAGCCTGAATAGAATTTTTTTGAGGTTTCTCATGCCCGTACCACCCCCAGCATTCCTCTTACCCTCCCGTGGAGAAACACACACTGCAGTTTTGTAAAAACGATATGTCTCTGTACTGTAAACATTTTCTGTACGTATTTTACCAACAGATAGAAACGTGGTACTTACGAATACAAAGTCAGTTTATCCAGATCATTGTGCATATTGAAGGCATACACTTCTCCCAAATGAAAAAGCTTTTCCAATGCCTCATAAATAAATATGATGCATATAAGCGCTGCAAAAGCTTCCTCAGTAAATCGAGTGATGTAACACACAAGGCTGCTGGCATCTGTGGCTACAAGCACTATGCATAAAAATGCAGTCCACAGACCAATGCTAGTTCGCAGGGAGAGGTAGGAAAGATTATAATCCCTGTATGAAGAAAGAAACAAAAGTATTAACTGAGCCAAAAGTCACCTGTGCAATATTCTATTTGAAAACAAATGCTGAGGCCAAGCTCTATAGCCATTCACCACTTGTCTCAACTCTGATGTTAATTCTGAAGGAAGCTGGAACTTCTGTCTCCTCTTCCACCAAAAGCAAAGCAACACTGCAAGGTGTTTCTAGGATTGAGGGTGCAACCACTTAGTTTGGGAAGCACCACGGGGATGATCTTCCCAGCACTACCTAGATGCTTTCTCCTCGAGGGAAGATCAGTCGCTGTTTGCCCCTGCAGAATCAAAGCCAACATCTCCACACAGTCAGAATGTAACTTTTACTGAAGTCCCAGCTGCTTCTTAACACCGAGGCTCCTCATTAAGGCTCACCAGCCCCTCACAGCTCTGACGAACCACGTCCATCTCTCCGTCTTTCTGCTGCATTTACATCTCCACCAACATCCACTTTCAACACACAACTGCTTTCAATTTCAACTATTCTAACAGGCTAGGAAGTGCATCAAGCTAATACAAACATCACTTACCTGCAAAACTTAAATAATATTTTTTCAAATACTAGAACTGGTCCGGTGCTCCCCAAAATAGTAAGAGGTTGCCCAGCAAAGAGAGAATAGGCAATCCCAGTTAATGAGGCTCCAAAGAGAGACTCTATTGCACTCTGTTTGGGGGAAAAGAAACCGCTGTAACTATGTTGTCTTTCAGACGAGGGCTTAGCAACACATCTGCGTAAATACATTTTTAAGATGCATTAACTCAGAAACAAGACAAGATGTAAAAACACTGCAATTAATATTGATGCTTGAGACAAGAATAACTTAACACACTTTTGCAGTAACAATAGCACGGACAAAAGATTTTGAAAACTTCACTTCTGAGAAACATAAAGCCACTCAAAACCATGACAGCAAGTTACTAGTCCTGCTAGCTATGAAGGAAAAATGTACCAACAATTACTACAAATTAAAGAAAAAAAAAGTTACTCAACATGTAGTATACAGAAAGAATTATCTGTCTCTGTAAAGAAAATAAGAAATATATATTGCAACATACCTGTATCAAGACACGATACGGTGTGCCGTATCAAACCTGCATCAGTCTACCAAGCATTACAAAAGAAAAAACTGACAGGCAGAGCTGCAGGGGAAATTACTGAACACTGTCGGCTTATGTATACATGACACCAAAAATAGATGAGCAGTACAGCAGCGTCCCACCTGGTAATGCATTTCTTTTCATTGAAGTAAGATTATCTACTTCAGCTCTTGAGTTAAATGTTTCACTATAACATTTTCTGCTTAAAAAAAAAAAGTTACAATGCACCTCAAAAGAGAGGGACAGGACTTTTTAGATACTAAAATGATACTAAAGTTACTTGAAAGTAGTGAACTACACCATTCGCAACTATGAGAAGTAATGGATTGCAGATTAACAGGCTCCTGGTAGAGATTTTAAGTGTTTGTTATTTTGCAATTATGCAAGCCTAAGAAAACAGTATTTATGCAAACCTAAGCTCCAATTCAGGAAAGCATCTAAAATTGGACAAAATGGTTTGCTAAAACGGGGCTATTAAAAAAAACGAACACACGAGTCCTTTGGTCATTACATGAGAAAAAGAAAAAATATTCCCAGTCTTTCGTTCTATTACCTTTGAACTAGTGGTTTTGGTTAGTCAATGCATTAACCTTGGGGCTCTCAATCAGGGTGGCAGGGACGGGAGAACTGTGGAGGTGATGACCTCTGGCAATGGGTGGGAAGGTTTCAAACACAAACTGTGTACCTTACAATGTCAGCTACTGTGCTTGAACATGGGTGTGCAGTAACTAAATTTTATATTCAATGATGCACACCAAGTATCTGAAGGCAGGAGCAAACCCGCAAACAATTCCAGACAGCTAAAAGAAAGAAGTTGTTGAAGAATCAAGCTTTAAAAGAAGCATATTTTCATAATTATACAAGATGTACATTCAAAAATTACATCAACATTTTGATAACCATTCCTACATTGAGTGGCAAAAACAGCACAGAGAAGATATAATTTATTTCCGTATTTGCTATCAGCTCGAAGTGCTACATCAATGAACAAAAATCTGACTCAACGGCATTACTTAAAACTAAATTTTAATATAGTAGGGGCTTAAAAGCTTGATCTAAGTATTAAGAAGAACTTCATAGCAACATAAGCTTTACCAGAATCTTAACATTTGTAAAGGACATGTCTGAATACATCCTGATTTAAAAACAGAAAATGACAGATTTAAAAACAGAAAATACACTTCAAACTAGTTTACTCACAAGCCAATTGACACAGACACCGAGTTATTAACACTGCCGATGGTAAGTACTCTTGCCCTGCTTCAAAACCCCAAGCGCCACGACATTTTAGTTAAGAAGTTGCTGGTGTCATCCACCGCCCAACCCAACTGCATCCGAATTTTGTAGGCGTACGGTTTAGAGTCAAGTCATTGACAACGAAGAGTATTTTCTGCTCGTAAACCTTAGCCACTTTCTTTTGTTGTTGACAGCACAGCGTTAGCGAAAGCATGTCCACAGCCTGTCCGTTACTGAAACACACCATTGACTGCGACCCGCGCGCTGCAGGCATATTCTCATCCTCGTAGGCCTACTACTCAAGGCCAGCAGACGTTCTTGGCTATCCACCTCGAGCCCCCGACTTCGCCTAAAGCAGGCCTAGCGGGATGGTGCACCTTGACTGCTATTCCGTTATTTTTAAAGTAGCCAAAAAGAAGGTAATGCAAGCCTTTTCTCAATTCAAGAAGCCATTCATCCAATAAGGCAGGATAAACATTTTTTACCTCCACTGTGCATCTTCTCCTGTTCACATGGGTTCCCCAACATTTTCCACAGCAATTACCTTTTGGGGAAGATCTGCTTTGGGGCAGGCTAATCAAGTGCTGTGGGTAAATTCTTCAAATACAAGTATAAAATAAATGAGACAAATGCACACAGTGACTTGCCTCTGAAGGTCTAAAAGCCTGGCCACTACCATTCTTTGTACTCACTATTCTGCCTTGTGTAGCTTCTCCCAGGAGCCCTCCAAAAGTGATTACAGGAGACATACAGGCACAGTATAGGAAAAGAATCGAGGCCAGGCACTGCAGGCTTAATGCATCCTTGAAGTCACTCAAGAAAAAAGGTGCTTTCCTTTGGATGTCAAGTATCAAACCACCAAAAAGCCTAAATAGGTGAGATGAAACTCGTCAAACTGTACACTAAAGGATTCTAGCTAGTTCAAAACTATGGGCTACACATGACTGCCAGTGCCTACTGCCAGCACAAATTAGCTATTTCATAATCCAGATTAAAGCATAACAGTTTAAAACGTAAATGAGAAACTTATCTATTCCAATTCAGCAGTATTCCAAATACAATCAAGCAGGCTATCCACATTTTTAAAAGCTGGCTAGGTATTTTTGTATATGGGCTAGATACTGAAAAAAATATCTTTGCAAATGATTTTGCCTAAATAACGTTTTAAATCAAATCTGTCTTATGGTATTCAAAACAAGGAACAGAAGAAATATGCTAAACCTCAACCAAGACTACTGCATTGATGCATTTCAATATTGCTACTCCAGTGAATAGTTGTAGCTTTCTGATTCAAATTCTCTACACACATATGATTAGGTCCATAAATAAATTTAGGCCTCTAATTTTTAACAGTGTTTTCATCTGGAGTAAAGACATATTCTACAAATGAAAACAGAAAAGCAGACATGTATAAGTTAGTTCAACTGGGTAAGTTATTAGCAAGAAATCAAAAAGCTTTTGACAGTTTCAAAAAATTTTTCAAGATTCCAAAACACTAGGTATAATCTGCACCTACAAAAGTTTGATTATATACTTGAACTATTAAAAAAAATAAAAATTTTCCATTCCCAAGAAAAACAATAGTCTCATCTAAAGGTAATTATTCTGGGGGCAGAAAGAACCTTCTTGGCTCCACATACTGTCTGCAAAAAGGCAAAAGTAAATATAACAAGCCAAAATGGTAAAAGTCTACACAAATGTTATAAAGTCCTTCTTGCAAAGGTGTGCGTAAGATGCATTTCATTTACAAGTTTACAATTTTGTGGATAACAACATTGCACATATTTTCCAGAATTTCTCGGTTGATTTAATCTCTAGTTTCTCCTGTGAGATCGATCCTAAGGTCTAATCTTAACCAGGTATTTCCAATGTTGGGCACTTTTTTGGCAAGTATTTTGGAATTAACAGAGGAGAACAACGCAACTCAACTCAAAGAAATTCCTTCAATTTTATTTTAGATCTAAAAGAAACCTAACCAAAACTGAAACCTAACCAATACCAAAGTATTTTCTGCCACTTGATAGTCCTTGTTGTTTCATTTCATACATGTTTAATAAAACAGACTTGCATTAGTGGAAATTTTTAGTACCTAGCCCAATACTGAAAACCGTATATTCCTGCTATAATTATGATAAGTGCATGCTCTTGACAATTAAAGATCAAAACCCAACTCTTAGAAGTCAGTTAAATTAGGCAGCATCTTATATGAAATCCTTCGCAAATGTGTTGAGAAACATTGCCACAGGCTTGAAAATGCTTTAAGCACATTGGCATTTATAGGCAAGAATCCAACACTTGAAAAGGAAAAAGGATGCGCTCTGACATTTATACCATGATTTTTTTATGTTCAAATGTCATCATTAAAAACTGCGAAGACTTATCGCTTTTATTTCTTTATGGTAGCTAGTATTTAGGGAAGTGAACACACCTTCCAGTTCTCTCAAGTTCAGGTCCAGCATGATGGCCTTCTTCTTTGAGAGTCTCTCCTGTAGGAGTAGATCCATTTGGAAATTTAGGAACCTTCCTTTTCTCCTACAGGGGGGGAGGGAGGAGGAAAAAAAAAATAAAAATAAAAATCACACTGATACTGCGTTTGAACTAAAAAGTATAATTCAAAGAAAGTGTGCAGATACTCTATGCCTCCCAAATCTTTTTCACGTTCGCAGCGTATCACCAGTTTTCCACTTGCCAAATTCATTTTTTGTTGAATACAGATGACTAGAGCTGTACAACACTCCCCAAAAGATCTTATTAGTGCCTTGCACAACATTATTAATCTTCCCACTTTCTACAAGAAATATGTGCCCAAGGCATGACAAAACAAAGCCTGCCTTTGAGGCACAGTAGAGGCCCAACCTTGAAGCCAAATCTTTAGATTTTTTTTTTTGTTTCCCCCCCTCAATCATTTCCAGAGTAGGAGCCTCGAGCTTCTGACAGAAGCTGACCTCGCTTCATGACACACGCACTGTTTAGCTGAAGTAAGAAGTGATTCCAGCATAAATAAGAAGTCATTCTCCTACCGAGCACGCTGCTCAGCGGCTCCTCATGGCCTTCTCGGCGGAGCTTGCCCGCCCACAACCCCCCAGCCCTGCGTATTTTGGAAATGAGTGCAGCGGTGGCCTCGGGCTCTTCCTGAACAAACTGCAGCGCTGTCGCTCCTGCCCCTGCACTCCCTCCCCCCAAGCCACCTCTGGATTCGACACCAACCTCAACCTTCCGGGCCCCCCCCTGCTCCTGGCAGCGGGAATTCCCCTCGGCTGTAAAGAGGGAGAGAGGGGGAAGGGGGCAGAGCCCCTCCGAGGCCCCGCTTCCCCCCGGCTCTCATCCTAACCCCGTATCACCGCTGCGCGATATCATCCGTTTTTACCTATTTCATAAACGTTCTGTGAACGTCGTCTGCCAGGCAATATACATTAAAACACTTCAGTGTCACATGCAAATAAGTTTTTATCAGACTTACAGTATTTTCGCTGCTGTTAGATTAGTAACAAAATCTACACTGTGGACTCAGGTACAATTTTGGGCCAATTCTCCTAGATCTCACATGAACTCTTTTCAGCATTACAAAAGGAAATACAGTAAATAGAATTTACTTAAAAGCACAGCACAAAACTCATGCAACTATTTTTTTTTTTTTTTATTTGCTTAAATGGACTATCCACTTTTTCTTCCAAATGGATGTGAGGGCTTTCCTGATTCTTTACTAAAGCTTATACTCAGTACACAATTTACTTGCATTGGGAAACGGCATTTTCCAAGTAAAAATCATGGGAGCTGCCTAGTGGAGGTCTGGGGATTTTTGTCTTTTACCTGGGAAGGAACACTTTTTGGTGGCTCAATTCGTATAGATGGATCCCATTCTCCTGGAGGCAGGACTGTCACTTGGTCTAAAAATTCATCAATTCCTGACAACAAATCATTTCGGTCTTTTGCTTTATAGGCAACATCATGGAAAACCTATAGGAAGAAAGTACTCAACATTTTCAGGTTTGGCTTTTTTTTCTTTTTTTTTTTTTTTTTTTTTGAAAAAGGAACTGATTACAAGGAACACTTCATTATTTAGGCTTTTACTTTACCTACATACTTTTGCATTAAGAACTACCTGTATGCACACCCCTATGGAATATAAAAGAAGGAAGTTACATCCCTAAACTCAAAAGAAATATTGAGTTCATTTCTAAAATGAATTAAAAAGTGGATCTTCAATATTCGGTAAATCAAGTTCATGTACCACTGCCTGAATAATTCTGCCCTACAGTCACTGTGCCACTATTCTGTGCTACATCAGGACAAAAATACTTTAAATAAAAACTTGTGTTATGGTTTGAAGGTTATTAAGAATAGGAACTTTATTTGTATACCTCTAGCTTAATTTCTTCTTTAAAAGACTTCCTAAAACAAACATGAAAGCAATCTTCCTCCTACTCAAAAAAAAAAAAAAAAAAAAAAAACACACAAAAAACCCCCAAAACCCTACACTGTTCTACAGACTACTACAACATAAACTCAGATCTGACAAACAGGTAGTATTTAAACAAAACAACTCCTGCTGAATCCCAAGTTTAATTTCATACAAAGAAAAAAAAAATAATAAAAAAGTGCTAGTTTTGCTAGAAAAAACTCTTTGCAGAAGATGATCCTAAACTGCTTCTGTACGTTCGAAACCTGAACTGTTTGTCTCCAAAGGCCTGGTCATTAAGTGTTCTAATTGTAAATTAGACCTTTGAAGCCTATTTAAGTTTTTTTTCAAGCACTGAATAATTTGAATTTTTCTATTTCAATAATCTACAGTATTCCTAAAAATCAGCCTACCTAAAAAAATTTGAAGTGATAAATAAAGCTTTTAATATTCAGTTCTTACATTAAACAAATACTGTGTTCACAGACTAGTTGCCCAATTGTAAAATGACCGATTTCTGGTTTGCATTTCCAGACTTGAAATTGTTCTACAGAAATATTAGAATTTCTGCTAGATAACCGTAACAATTACCAGCAATTCAGCAGGTGGCGCTCAATGCGAAGTCAGAACTAAAACATGCCGATTTTGTTCAGTTAGATGACAATAGTCTTAGAAAGTCTGGATTCCCCTGTGCTCTTTAAAACTGTCCACCAGGGCTCTAACCATAGGATTCAAATGCCTAGTACAATTCTAATCTTAATTATTTGTCCTAACTTTGATTTAAAAAAAAAAAAAAAAAAGTCACATGCATTCTTAAACTTCATCTTGTCCTTTTCAGCAGGGATTCATATCAGAGGCTGTTCTATTTAGTAGTTTAATACAAAAATTACATCTATAACCAAAGCTAAAATATTTTTTCAGAAATACATTCAGAATTTTCTTCAAGACAGACAAGGGGAAAAGTTCCTTTACTATTATCTAGTTCACTAACACAAAAAATATAAGTTTACAGTTCTTCATTTAACCAGTTTGTTTGGGTTTTTTTCTTTAACCTGTCACTCCAATACATTTATTGAAAACAGTCAGTACAATCCATCGCTCTAGACTTCTTCACCTACAAATGTTTAAAACACATCACTCACATCATCTGTCATAAGTGTTGCTATCGATCTTCCAATTTCATGGTACTGTGGAGCTTTTCCTGCTGGTCCCAGCAACAAAAACAAAAACCTGTGGAGAAAGCAATCGAGATGAAAACAGCTAACTCGTGTATATGCTCAGAGGGTTCTTTAATGTTTTAAGGACATTTGGTGGTGAAGTGAAAAGATCCTTCTTCACCATTTCAGATTTTAAAGACTGCTGCAAGACTAGGACTTGTTTCAAAGCTGTTACTTGAAGGAACTCTAATCCTGACCCAAAATTACTCCAAAATCTTCTTTATTAAACCTAATTTTTCAACTTCTTTATCATGCCATAAACGTAGCAGAAATCTACAGGTTAGAGCCAAACGAGTATTTCCTCTGGATTATAAACCTTTCTGACATTCCCACTGGCAAAGACCCCTTAGTGAGGGCCTTAGGAGCTTGATGATCTGTTCTAGCTTCTCTGATGATCAGGGTTAAAGCCCTCTCACGTGCTGAGCCTGGGTGCTTCACACAACGGATGCGGTGGTGCACTTCAAGCAACACACCCGACATACTCATCCGGCCATACCCTCATCCTGTGTCAGTGGAAAGGAAGGGAACCTGAAGCCTGAACATCTAAAAAGGTAAAAGTGACATTTTGGGAAGGGAATCCGATCTGGGGGCGGATCTCAGGATATACTAACAGTCTCCATTTCCAATCACAAGAAGAGATACCACACCTTAAGCAAAAAAAAATCCCAACCAACCACTTGAACGGGACTTGTATCTTATCAATTCAAAAGGAAACAAACCAAACTGCAAACCTCAGTAATTCTCTTCCCAACCTTCTTCCTACACTCCATGAAAATGAAGTTACTAAGTACATTTGAAAAAAGCAGTGCCTTCTTTCACCTCACAGTACAAAAATCTCAATGCCGTTTTTCCTTTGCAAGTTGACTACCCTAACTGAAATCGAAATTCCATCTTCAGAATCAAGTATGCTACTCCAGATCTGCAAGCCTACACCATTCTGAAAAATTTAGGACAGGATAATTTTAGCAAGATTCATACAATAATCTGTATGCAAAAATTTCGGAATTTCCCAAGAAACATTATGAGCACTGCTGTTAACTACCCTCTGAAAATTCTCACATCTGTTTAGAAGAACACTGCTAAGATTATTTTTGCCTTTCATTAGAGTATATAAGCTGAAAGCTACATAGATAAACAAGTGCTTTGGTGATTTTAGAACATTAAAAAAAAAAAGAGCAAAAGCCATAAATATATAAATTTATGCCAAACACCACAAAACAGCCCAATATATCAATGCCCATAGCAAATGAAGTGTCCTCCATGATGCCTGATTACATGACCTGCTATCTGCATCATGAGTCCTGCATTTTGACATTTTGATCATCTGTGGTCAATACATCGGCAGGATACTGGCAAGATTTTGGGGGTGGGCGCACCAGGCTGGATGGCACATCGCAGACTGAAAACCCACTCATGCTGTCGTGGGTTTGAGCTCAGAGGGCAGCTGAGCACCACGCAGCCGCTCACACACCCCTTCTCTCCCAGCGATGAGAAGGGACAAATGTATTAGCTGCTGAGTGGTTACTCCAGCATCAATCACGTAGATTTGGGCACACAAGAAAAAAAAAAAAAAAAAAAGTGAAGTTTTTCCACCACCTGGGCTATTCATATACAGAGTATTTGTATGCAAAAAGAAGAGCTTTGTATGGGACCAACTTTCAGACTTAGTGGACTCTTCCCCACTGCCACACTGTGTCGTGCTGAAGGAAACTATAACAGTCTTCATGCCCATCTTTAAAATGGCAAGACAAGCTTGGAAGACTCATTGTTTTTGCTTCAGGTCAGCTATCAGTTTCAACTTCGGCCCTGGCATCACTATATATATATATATTTAAAGCAGTCAGAATTTTATGGTGTATCTCATTCCTTCAATTTTTGCAGCAAGTGACTGGAATCATGTTAAACAAAAGGTCTACTCTTCTTGCTCTTAATAGAGTGTGCATAAAAACTTATAGCCATTTGAGATCTTTATTATTATATTCTTACTGTATAAGTAAAGTCAGACTTTCCAGGCATTATTTACCGTGTAGGAACCGGAACCTCTGTGAGACCCGAGAGAAGCACAGCAGGGGAGAGCCTCACAAAAGCAATAATAGGTCTTTCTAAAAAATCTACTTCTCCCACTAACACATTTGATGCTTCTGCTCCTGAAGGAATTTTCCTCATGAAGTTCATATCAACCTATTTATACAAAGATGAAACAAGTGTTTATTCCTTTACATTTGTTAGCAGAAACTGTATAACACAATTTTATCAGCATTTACTAGACATTTATGCTACAAAGAAAAATAAAAAAGCAAATTAAGTATCTCACAGTGCAGAAGACAAACACATGTAGAAAAATGTCAGTCAGCCAGCCAACTAATAATAAACTATTTTCTAAAAGTTAGAGTTAGTACCACCCACTATACTCTACAAGACTCCAAACTGCATAATCTTTCTAGTGTTACTTACGACAAACATTCCATGATAAGACATAACTTAACAAAGTCTGTGCACAATTAAGTAAGGAGAGTTCATGTAGTTACACATGGTTTCTAGAATGCAATTAGTTATTTCACAGCTGAGTATTTCAAATGTGTCACAATTTTGACAAATAATTGGTATGTTTATGTTTTCATCCATAAAGAGCACAAGGGCTAAAAATCTTAACATTCATTTCTGTACGTATTAGGGAAGAGCATTAGAAAACGGTACAGCACATGAACTCTGTGCTCACACCCATATGCACACGCACACAAGCACCAGGTACATTGCTATCTAGAGAACTTACAGGTGGCCTCTTGAGTCCCGCACCAAGTGTGCCACAACTACAGTGCCAGGAGGCTGACTCCTGCCCAACAGGAGACAAGGCAGGTGTACAGAAGGACAGGCCAAGCAAAAACATGCAAGCTGTGACAGAGGAGCAGGCTATATGGCACCTGCCATCATTAGATGAGAACTACAGTGCGAGTTAGCTTCCCTTAAAAATGACCATTGAGCTTGGCAAAGCACTCTTCTTACAGTGCTTCACAGTACAGATGACACTACAGACTGAGTTTTATAGTAAAAGCCATAACGGAACTTGCCCAGCAAATTTAAATTATGAAAGAAATACAAGGGATTTAGAGTTTTACACCAGATTTCCTTCAGAAAGTGATGCTATATGCTCCTAATGATTAAGATATACCGTAACTTTTGTACAGCAAACTCATGAAACATATAAAGCAAATTTCCTTTAAAAGCCCTGTTTACAAAAAAAAAAAAAAAAAAGAATCAGCCCTAGGAAAAAAAAAAGTTACACCACCATCTACAAAACTGTTTTCATAAGAGTCTTTATAGCAGATCTGCAAATACTTCCCTCTACATGAGAAAGAACATCAGCTGCGCACATCAAGTTACCAAAATACTGAAAAGATCAAACAAAAAAGAAGTTCGGTCCCACTGGGAAGATTCAGAAAACATTTGGCACATTTAACCTACGTCACATTCTGACACTCGTCTGTACAAGTTAGGGCTCAGTACGTATGTCCTGTGGACACTCACACACGTGTACCCATGCGTGCCTTAGCTGTAACTAGGAGGGAAGTTACAACCACCACACTTTTTGCTACATCGTTATGTTGTGCCAAACATTAAGGTATTTAATGTTATTTACCTTACTAAAGTCAACGGTGCTGTTTTCTCTGCTTCCTCCTGTCCCAGTACCTTTAACATCTCCACTTTTCCCAGTGTCTAAATTTCCAGGTGCTGACTGTGGAGATGCCAATAGCCCTAAATTAAAACAAATGAGGTAAGTTCAAAATGGTGTATGAATTGAACTGAATATGCGACACTACCAAAACACAACGTGGCAGCTTGCTCAAAGCAAATGTGCAAGTTATTCAGTAAGAGTGCCCTACATTAGTATCATAAACGCAACGGTAACAAGTCACTGTGCTGTCAAAATGATGACATAAATTAAAAAAATTAAAATGAAGGATTGCCCAAATGATGGCCATTTGCAGAACAGTCACCAGAAAACAAGAGCTACTGCAGTTGTAGGAAAAAAAAAATAAACAACCAACCATTGACACTTTATTTGTAACTGCTCTACTAGTTAGTAGATAGCATCTCCACTATGTTTAGAAGTCCTCAAACACCCAAAGCAAACACCTCTGCTACCTGGTCTGCCAGGTAGCAGCTATTTCAATTGTAAAAAGCCTCGGCAAGCCTCAGGCCACGACTAGAAGGAATGACACCCTGGTAGTTAACTAACCTGTACCAGTAAACAGCGTACTACATGAAAGATAGACAGCTTGCAAACCATCATTTCGAGCAGCAGACCAAAGCTCCAGCTGCTGATCTGAACAGGCATTACTACACGGAAGGGCATCTCTGGCGTCCACGCCACGGAGGCTCGTACAGTGAAGTTACTCAAGTGAAACACAGATTCCCCCTAACACCCTCCCCACGCCAGAGGCACTGTATGTAGCTTGCTCCGACAGCAACACTGAACTGCAGGTTCAGGGAAAAGAGCAAAAGGCGAGTAACCCGGGTGTTCATGCACACCGAATGCCGTCTCGCGCCACGGGTATCCCGTCCCAGCTAGGATTTAAAACCCGGTCTAGGCAAGCAGAACCGAGCCCAAATCCCCTGGTGTGGATTGCAGAGCTTTTGCTTGTTCCGTTTAACATGCACTAGAAGTACATTCGGCCTTGCTTGGCTCCACTAGGCCCTTCAGATGTGGTGATAAAACATGCTTTAACACGCTTTCAAACCCACAGCCAGACAAAGACTGAAGTCTAAACATGGCATTACATAGAGAAAGTTCCCGTTGAGGTCGAGTGCCACTCTAATCACGATAAAACCGAAGCCCTCACTGGCTACCTTTTGGCTACTGTCCTATGATAGCTACTTGCATCCCTCCCTGTTTATCATTTAGCCGCTTGACATTTTTTAGCATTTCAAATGACAACTGAATTCACTTCGTTTGATCCCCAAATTTACTTCCAAAAAAACCATTTCAAAGAGCCATCATATCAATAGAAAACATGCCGGTCCAAGCCTTTACCATTAATTTTCATTCTTGCAGTTCACAGGGATATAACTGGTATGGGTAGTTTTTCCTGAGGCAAAACCCAATTTAAGTTAATAAGCTGTAATTTCCTTTGTGAATCTTAACATGCATGGGTAATTAGCTAACACGATAAATACTATGTTCGGTTAGCTAGACCAAAAAAAAAAAAAACAAAACCACATTCTACCCTTCTGCTCCAAGATGTATCAGTTATTCAAGTTATTCGTAAGAATAACCAACAGCAACCAACCGCCTGTGAAATCAGCATAAGAGTAGATGTGTTTGTAGGACTAGAAACAGAACAGAAATATTAAACAGCTGCTGCAGAAGAGGAGCATAATACAGAAGTTTATACATTCTGCACTTTTGGCAAATGCCCTGTGAGCAAGAGGAAGCAGAGACCAGGAAAAAAAAAAAAAAAGTGGAGAGACAATCAAGGAGGAGGATTAAGAACAAGGATTCTACATATTAGCCCAAACTAATTTTATTATTTCAGTACTGGAGCGACACTGATTCTTCTGCAAGGTTTGCCTTCAGAATTTATCCGACCAGTCGCAGTTGAGGTTCACAGGTTTTGGCACCGATCCCGGGGACACTCATCGGCTCCTAACCGCCACGCACACCGCTACCCTTCCTGCCGGCCGGGCAGCCGGGCGCACGGGAGCCGGCAGGGCTTCCGCCACCCGCGGGCGTCTCCACGCGACACCGCGCGTCATCACGCCCCTCGGTCGATCCCGTATTTGCAGGGAAATTCAGAACAAGGAATTTGCATCTCGAATAGTGAAAAAGCTTCTACTCAAAATCTCACGGTAATAAAAGAACTCACTCATTTCTCTCCTCCGGTTGAGCAGATACAAGATGCTACTGCTACAAGGAAGACTACCCAGCAGCTTTTCCAGACTGTGAGACAGAGAAATTCATCTGGTCTTACCGAGCTGATCATTAAAAACAGGCAGTACTGCTGAATTTGTTGGTTAGAGAGGTATGCCACCTGCCTCCTTTGAAAGGCAACAGCATATTGAGTCTTGATTAAATCTGGATTGAAGCCCTGTAAAAGCACTTAATTAAAGCACTTGTAACTGCACCTGCACTAAAGAGCATGGGCATTTTCTAGCCAACTACATTTGGTTTAACATTGTGATCAAAAAAGCCTACCGGGCATTATTTACTGGAAAAAGAAAGCAAGAAGAAAACAAGAAGAATACAGACATTTGCCTCACATCTCTGCTTCAGTAAGAAAAGAAAAATAAAATGTTGGAGAAATAACACGAGTTCAACACCTAAGCATGACTATTTCAATATAATTATGCTTATATAGGCAAAATTTATGAAATACAAAACTTTCAAATACAAAGCCACACCATATTTGTATTGAGGAGATTAAAATCAATTTTTAAAAATAAATTCCAACGCATCTTTAATGTGAAAAAGAATATTAAAATTACTCCTAGAAGGTAAATATGTACATCTTCCCGAGTTCCTACTTTCAGTAAGAAATTATTGTAAGAGCAAAGCTATTCTAAATATTATTTTACTCAGTTTTAAAACACATTTCTCAGTGAACCAAAAGACCTCTTAAAACAGGCTGCTTTGCTGTTGTTCACAGGCATTAAGAAAGCTGAATGAAACTGGTGAATTAACAGTGTTGATCTTTAGCTGTGACACTGCTCTCTTCCTAGCACTACCTATGGCATTCACTATTCAACAGTTTCAAAGACAGGAAGACAAAAGCTGTTCTTCAACTGATGACAAAAGTAAATAAAAAGGTTGTTAAAGAACCCTTTGCCTGGTTGACTTCCTCTGAACTGGTGACTCGCTGATAAAAAGTAAATGGTAGACTGAAAGTGTGTCCCTCTTCCCGCCTTTTACAGTAATTCAGTAACCTTCCAGCTATTTATAAAGACTAAAAAACAAATCTGAATAGCACCAGGCCAAGGACAGATGAATGCTGAACAGAAGCAAGTCACCTGTTGGAAAATTGCCACAGCTCCTAAGGCTCACAGGAGATGAACTCGACTCAAGCCATACCGGTGTGGAAACGGTATTCAGGATGCAATATTCTGAATTACTAGAGAGGTAATACAGACCAGAATGTATAGTGGAATGCACAAAGAAGATTTTTTTTTTTTTTTTTTTTTTTTTTTAAAAAAAAATACAAGTAGGAGGACTTCCCCTTCAGGGTTCCCTTTTAAGTCTGTCTACCAAAACAGATATTAGTCCAGTTGCAGCCCTGAGGTCATAGTCTGAGAATGCCTTCAAAGGCATCTCAAAGAAAAATGTGTCCTTCTGTGGTCAGATGATTCCTTGAATTAAAAAACGGGGTAAAAACCCACAAAACAAAAATGTCTTCCATCTTGCTGGTGTTCATCTTTCTCTGGAAACACTTTTATTTATGGATTAACTGGGAAATCATCCCTTTCAGATTTTTCCTTTACGAGAAACATCCCCTTGAGGCATAAAAGCAATCGGAACATGACTTGGAGATTCCGGTGGAAAGCTTTATTAGTGATAATAATAGCAACAAGTACTTGATCTTCATTTGTTTGCCTTCTCTTGGTTTCTAAAGACCTTGGGTCTGGCATGTTGTCATTCCTGGCAGATGAGCAGAAAAATGAGAACTGGAAAACCAATTGCAGCTGTTATTTTACTTCTAGTTTTTAATTACCTTTGAACGATCACCCATGAGAGAGAATGATTTTCATGTGAATTCTCTTAATTTCCCATAAGGAAGCCAGGGAAAGGAGTTTTTTGTTTGCTTTTCTGAACTTAAGTAAGGATGGGGTCCTACTTCAGCTCCAGATGACAGCCTACAACATAGTTGGCTCGCTCCTTTTCAGTGACTTTGCTGCAAAATGTGAAAAGGCAGATAACCACAGCCTTTTCTCTGTCAGCATATTTTCTGTTATATGTAACAGTGTGCTCTTACTTATTAAACAAGTGAGGAAGGAAACCACAAGAAGCCTCACTGATTAAAGAGTTGAATGAAATCAACTTCCCCCCTCCTGCAACACACATAGGCATAAAGCAGACAAACCTACAAGCTAGATCTTGGCAAGATAAAGTTCTGGGAAGAAAGGGCAAGGGGGAAAGTAAAAAAAAGAAAAAAAAGAAAGAAAAAAAAAAAAAGAAAAAATAAAAAAGGCAGGAGGAGCCTCAAGGCTAAAAAGAAAGGCGACCCCCCTAAAAACATGATCTAGCTACAAGAATGCTGAAGTCTTTAAACAAGCGTTAATTTTGCAAAAGTAAAGCAAGTATAACAGTAGGTATGCAGAATGCACGAGTTGCGAAATATTTACTAAAAACTATTCAAGAAAGAGAACTTTCCACCCGTTCTTTCAACTTACCTCTACACCTACATACCCTTTTACATGCAAAGAACAATAGCTTTGCAAGACAACAAATTAATGAATTGCTGGGTTCTGACCTACAATTATAAACTCTTAACTACTTTATTCTATTTTGCATATCAAGCAACAAAGCAGTAATCAAGCGTGTGATGTTGAAGCAGAGCACTAACAAAAAGCTACCTGGAAACAACTGCAGGTGAACCGAACCTGGCAGTTCCATCATAAACTACTACTGGTTTTAACGGGCCCTGGCTTTTAAAAGCACAAAAGCAAAAATAAAACTGCTTTAAGACTTCATGATACAGCTAAACTACGAACATCACGGGTGATTGCACCCTTCCTAATTCTCTTTATAGTCATCTCTAACACTTCACCACGTCTTTGGCTGCAGCTATTTCAGGATATCAAACACTGGGTTTAGAATATTAACTCGACCACTGACAAAACCAAACCAAACCAAAACCTGACATGGAACGTAGGTGAGTGAAAGGAAAAGGCCACCATTTTTGACATCTTGCTTACATATTGTATTTTAAAACCATATTCCTTTTTAATTACACAAATGAAGGTTAATTAAAGAATTTTTTTGCTGGCTTTAGTTAAAAGCTAAAAAGTTAAACACGCCAAGTAAGAGAACAGTCACAACTGAGAAGAAATAAAACAAAACATGCAGGCAAAGGTAACAGTTATCATAATCCTTTGTGCCCAAGTTACGTGCCAAAAACATCACAATGCAAGTGATCCAGATGCAGAGTGCATCACACATGGACAGCTTAAGTTTCAATAGTTGCCTGGTGTTTTGTCAATATTTTCCTCTGTCTTCTTTTCCTGGCTTTCCTGCACTTCTAAGTCCTCCTCAGGTGGGTGGATTATTACTGAAGGAATATCGTCACTGGCAGGTGACACCAGCAATTCCGTGCCCTGAGGCGGGCTTGGCCGGGCACTGGTGCTGCAGGTGGGACTGGAGGGCGGTGTGCTTTGAGGGGTAGTTACGGGGGTGGTACACCTTGAGGTTGCCGGGGTTCCAGCTCTTGAAGAAGGAAGAAGGTAATTGAGAAGAACTGACAAACGGTTTTCTCCTCTCAGGGAAATATTTGAGGCAGAGAGACCTGTTCGTAAAGAATGGCGGGAGGCTGAAAGGCCTTCCCCTGAGATAAAACAAATGAAACACCATGAGGCTTATAACAGGGATATACAAAAAAAAAAAAAAAAAAGAAACAAACAAAAAAAAAACCACACCACAACACACACCAATATGCATTAACAATTTATGTAGTAAATTGCAAGCTTTATGGGCTGAAACTGTCATACTCATGCAAGTAAGACAAGAGATAACAGCAAATCTGATTTCAGACATTAGAGAAGTCAGAAATTATTGATGAGTATCAATTAGAACGGCAAAGATATGTGGGAGAAGAGATTACCTTAAAGTCAGTAAGATTTGTTAATACAACTAAAAAAAAAAAAAAAAAATTTGCATTTCTTGAAACTGACTCTTAAATTTTCCTAGAATTTCTTATTCCAAATTGCATTTTTAGTGCCATCCAAAAAATACTTTAAAAAAAATCACTAGCAGCCAAAACATCGTAAGACTTCACAGTTAACTGCATCCATTATATACAAAGAATTTTTAAAATTAAAATATTTCCAAGTGAGCACGATCAAATATACCTAACAGTGTTAAATGCAACTGTCTTCCAAAAAAAAAGTCTTGTTTTAATACGAATTTTCCTAGCCAGCTGTAGTCTCAATATATATTTCTGAAGAGGGCGTGATACACAGCCCCTTCTCCATTTCTTCGTGCTCGGACTTACCAAACATCCCCGTTTACCTAAAACCAAACCGATTTCTCCGAAATCCATTGCTACTTTTCTTGACCTATCCAGTTTCAAACGGCCCACTAACTGCACACACAGACATCATAGTCTCGCCACGCTTCCCGTGGATTTCGATTGGGAATGGATTTTAGTTCTTCCGTAAGCAGGAGGAGATGACGCCTGCCCTCCTGTGAGCACTTCCACTGTGACGGTTAGCAACAGCATCCCCCCCCCTTCACCACAAACACTTCTCCTGGGATGGCAGCCCCTCTGAGTACTGATTACTTCTCCTACAATCCCTGAATCAGAAACGTGCTGCTTTCACATGCCGTGCCATCAAGCAAGGAAACACCAAACTAGACACATTTAGTCCCACATTTATACCTGGCACTGCAGAGACCAATACACTGAGCAACCCCAGCACAATTTGCAAGGAGGCGCCTAGGAAAAGGCCATTTCTATCCCCACCTCTAACAATGGCAGAGTGGATCCTACAGACACTAACTGGATTTAAATTAAGAACGAAAGCCTCAAAGATCAACTATTAAAACTGCAGTGCAGTAAAGACAAGAGCACCAATAAAGCAAACCAGTTATTTTTGTCCCTATTAATCACTACAGTAATAACTAGACTGCTGTCCTTATATCTGTGACAAATCACGAACGTGAGCTGCCCTAACACACAAAGTAAGCCTAAAAAGGATTATGCTCATATGCATGTTTGGTTTACCGGTTTATTAGAGGGCAACCATAGGATTATAAAGAAAAAGTGAATCAGTACACACTGGCAAAGAGTTCATCACGTTATACCGGTTTCTTACTCCAGCATATATCCCATATTCTGTTGTAGGAATAGCATTAAGGGTAAAACGCATTGGAAAGCGGAAGTGACACATGAAAAGCAACTGAGAAGCAAGAGACCTCAAATACAAAATTCTCAGAATTACAACTGGGGCTACAGGTGTTCAAGGATGGGTAAAACCAAGTTTATATGTGAAATTTTCACACTTGCTGAACAAAACAGGGAAGACAATAGTTATACAAGAAATTATGCTCTTACATAAATTAGCTGTGGTTTTATTCTAGGAAAAAAAAAAATCATTCTGAAACTATCAGGGAAATATTTAAGCAGGCATCATATATTCACTAGCTAACAAAAAGTATCAGAAGGCTTGGACATTTGCTTGGACAGTGAGAGCTCCCAACAAGCGCTTAACTACAAGCACTTAGCTAAGTGGAACATGTTCCAAGCAATAAGGCACCTTTCAAGACAGGAAGGGAACTTCAAGGAGTCATCCATGAAATCTGTACTAAGTTTTCACTAGACTAAAAAATTTCAGTTGGAATTATATGTGTCTTAGTTAATGCACGACAAAAGAAAACAGGCGAAAGAGCAGAGATAGAAATAGAGGCCGTAAGAAATACAAGAATACAAGTATGGTGCTCTGAAGTACAGATTGCTATTCTGACTTTGGAACTGGATGTCTAGAGTAAATGTATGGATATTCCAGAGTTTTTCCGGGAATTAGTTCAATAAGAGATGTGGTACAGCCTATAAAAACACTTCAAATACCTTTCTTGGATTTGTTGGGGGGTTGTGTTTTTGTTTTGTTTGTTTGTTTGTTTTTTTCTTTTTCCCCTGTTAGGTCCTTGTCTAAAAAACAAGGTTAAAAAAAACAGCGTCCTAGCTAAAAGTAGTTTCTTCACCATTAGCATAGTGGACATTTTCTAGTCATATTAACATAACACTGGATTAAAACGCAGTTATTGTCAGCATCACTGAACTCAGGACATGACCGCAAAGTAAACCTCCAGTATAAAGACTGAATAAGCAAGTAGGATCCATCTGACAAACACATAAAGCTATGCCACAACGCTGAAATGCCTCAAACGTTACACATTTTATTCAAGCATATCCCCAAAATAAAACCCATTAGGACCAATGTAAGTCTATTTCTATAGTTCAAAACAATAATGCATGCTATCTGCACAGGCAGGAGTAGAATGTTTGAGTAAATTCAAAAATATACAGAAACATCATCCACAGCTACACACAGCACACACTGTTATCATTAGCTCTTTGCTTATCAAGGAGGAAACACTTATCTGCTACCATCAGCTGAATTTTCCTTCATCTCCCAGTGAGAACATTATTTAACAGGTTAGAACAAACTGGATGCTACAACTTATCTCACCATTTCGTTCAAGCAAGTGAGGGTCAGAATGTTTCTTGCCTATATCTGCAAAAGACCGAACCAGGGGAATCCGATTGCTGAATTTTTTCTCATTTTGATGATGGTGCCTTTTTAGAAGAGCCTCTCTCACATTCTCTCTTATGGATTCATCCAGCTGGCCCGAGGCAATCATGTTGTCCAAAACCATATCTACATAATAACAACAACAAAAGAGAAAATAATATATATATATATAGTTATCAAACATCTCCTTCACCACACTCAAGCACTGTAGTTGCACCAAAGAAAAAAAAATAATATTTTTTTTTTTAAAGTATTTTCTTTAGAAAAGTCATCTTCAAGAATCCACAGGAAATTGTCAAAGATGTCACTAAACGAGCAAATGTGAGAATAAGAAAAGCACAAGATGCAGATCCAGAAGACAGCATTTATTCGTAGCATCATTTTAAGAAGTTACTTTATACTTTCTTGACATTTACTTCAACTTTCAGTGGCGACTCCCTTTCAAAAGAAGAGTGTCTATGTAGGCAGCAACCCTCTACTAGAAGTAAACAACTGAAGACAGGAACACAGTGGAGAACAGACAGCCTTGACCTGGGGTTCCCTACTTGGAAAGCATGCAACTATATAAACCTGAAATTACTGCAGACGGCGATGAACTCCCCAACTCCTCTGCCACCTCCCGATGCCCTAAGTTCCTGAGGCTCTCTACCCAACCCCACGCGATTCACCTGCTTCAGAAGAAGAAGTGCAAAAGAAAAGCTAGTTGCATCACCTCAGACTAACTAATCGGCTGTCAAACAACATCAAGTTTCGAGTGGGCATCTCCTCAGTATGCTCGCATCAGGAAAGAAAGCCTGCATGCCTGCCAAGGTATCTGCTGCAATTTCTTAGCCCCACCTGCATGAATCAGCACAAACCCACGTGCCAGCTTTTAAATCTACTTTGCCAGCCTTAACGGATGTATCAAGAACCTGATAGCACTGGTAAACTGCAGTTGCATAGAACTCTTCACAACAAAAAAAGGTCATTGCTCAGGATACCTTGCAAACAAAACTGCATGCAGCAAAGCCTCTGTCAGTGCAGGGCAACTTTCTGCTGGGAGTCCTGGCAACACACAGCCTTTTGCTACAACTTCTCAAAAGGAAACCTGCCACCCTCTCCCTCTTGCTCTGAGAATCAAGAATACGTAGCAGGTACTCCTGGCTCATGGAAAGGAGACAGTACGTTTGTATGCCAAGGATTGTTATCCTACATGCTTTGTAATGGGACCTAAAATTAACCGGTAACAAATGCATGCAACCTCTTAAGACATCCTAGTTCCACCTAAAATACCTGAGTGCTGTTTACACAGAATTTAGCTAAAATTCTTTCTCTTATGCGGTAAGATCATTGCTAAATGCCATTATTAAAAATAAATTAAGAAAACAAAACATCACTTTTACAAATCACGTATTGAACACTCTTCCTAAGTCAGGAAAATAGGAAGGGAATACCAATGTCCTGAGTGAACTGCAAAGATTTCAAAGCAAAACACAAAAAACTTTGGCAGTGCTTGGAGTGTTTTTATGCCAAAACACCTTGTCCTTCACATACACGATGGTCATCCCTAAGCCTAGCATGATTCTCAAGAAGGCAATCCATTGTGCGGTACCTGTAGCAAGAGATACCAGGAAAATTACGTAAAACTAGTTCAAAGGCATTCAGGCTAAGCAGTGTATATGTAAGTCTTCAAAGCAGATTTTATGGTATCCAAAATGACCGTGTGATTAGTGAGGACACTCAACATAGTAGGTCAAACAACATGTACAAAATTTATTTCTGCTCACCTCTTATAAAGGTGAAAAAAATACCAGATGTGTAACAATCAACTGCACTAATGGCATCAAGTTAACATCAGCCAAGTTATGAATAATAATTATGGTACTAAAGTGCACAAATAAGTCCTAAAATGTTCTGGCAGATATTTACATTTCATCTGTAGAAACAAAGACAAAGAACACATTCAGGGATTAGAACATAAAGGCAAATTCTGGGCCTCAGCCTAAAATATGTAATAAAGGATGTCCTACTCATCCAGTGTAGCTCCTTCTAAGTGAAGTTTGTAGGATCAGCTCTTTACAACCAGATGAAGAAAAACGCAGTAAGCATGCACATATCTGTTTCTTCAGTATATTATTTTCAAGAACATAAAAACAAACCACCATCAAAACCATCTCAAGTTATAGATTAAAATTTAGGAATGCAGTATTTAAGAAAAAAAAAAAAAAAAAAAAAAAAAGAAAGTTTTGCTGCAACCTGCTATCTCATCTAGTGTGTTTGCTCTCATGTCCAACATGACCGTCCCATTAAGAATACAGCTTCGCAGTTCAAAGAGACTGTGCAGAGACAGAGTCGCTACGTAAGGCTTGCTCCATCGATCACCCCCATCTTCAACATCCTCTTCAAATTTCAGCCACCTGAAATGCATACACGTACGCGCAGTTATATTTCTCCTGCAAACAGACAATTTGGCAAGCAATCCCATTCTTCCCCGTGGCTTCTGTATGACATGGAACAGGAAATCCCATCAGCTCACACCGGCTTTCGTTTTCTCAGACAATCCCACTGATTCACAGTCATAACACTTTTATCAGGGCTTGCAATCACACTCAGCTGGATTAGCTTTCGCCCATTTTGTTTCTTTTGGCTTGAACAATACCTGCCTATTCTCGAGTTCTTGTGAACAGGGTGGGATTCTGCCTTATTACTTGACTTGCATATCTCCGTTTCATCAGTATTTTAGGACCAGAAAGCTGTCTGAAACGGGCCATACACCATGTTCAAGTCTCCCAGGGCGCTAAATCAGACATTTAAGAGCTAGGCAATGTGTAACTATAAATTGATCTTGAATGTAAATTGAACTTCTGCAAAAGCTAGCATGCAATAAGGTAATTAGAAGTATGGGATGCAGAAGAATTTATTACAGTGCATCCGTAGAAGGAGGCAAGTGAACCAATACACATCAAAAATAACCATGGCATCCTGTAATGTTCATGCGTGCAATTTGCAAAAAATTAACCAAATACTATCCAAGAACATATGGATATACCCAGTTTTCTTCATGTTTGAGTAAAAAAAAAAAAAAAATTACACTAATGTATCAGCGACAATAGAGGAGCAAGAGACTTCCGTGACTGAAAATGCTGTCCTTCATGGCTGAACACCTGTGTAACTAAACAACGGTTGTACCTTTCACAGTGCTTGGTATGATCAGTTTTAGGAAAGTCAACACAGCACCAGTAAGACTGAGAATCTCTTGAGAAACCATATTGATCCTTCCAGAGTTGGGCAAAAAGAATAGAAGTTTTAATTTGCTGAGTGTGAACTGAGTGAGCAGGTTCCGTGTTTCATGAAAATTTTAACCTAGCCCTGGTTTGCGGTTCTTTGAAATAAAATCACTGGAAGATATAGCTTGAAACAATCTACTTTTAGCATACCTAGCTGTTTCTTTCCATTCATATTCTTCCCCATCCCTGAAGCAAAGTTCATCCATTTCAGTGAAGAGATCATGGGGAATGTGTTCATCATCATCTTCAGTACCCAAGATAAACTGCACTCGTTGGGATGGTGTGTCTTTGAGAAAAGGAGAAACTGAACAATTAAAGGAATTCATACTTCTCTGATGCAAGAAACACCACGCAACAGTTAAATCTCCTGCTCTCAGTTACAAATGTACAGCACAATATCCTCTTCGAGAGAGAAGAGGAACGAAAGAAACATGGACATTTCTTTAAAAGGAGGCCCGTTTAAAATTTTTCATTGTTTCTGAAAACAAAACATCTGGAAACTTATGTTTATGTAACACAATGAAGTGTTTTTATCTCTTTTATAGATTAACAAAATGAAAATACACAACAGAAAAATTGGTCAAAAAGATAACAATTAATATACCAAAGGGTTAGAAATCTTGTTTTCACACTTTGAGAACGAAATAAATGATAACATCATGACACAGACACTAATTAAAGGAGATTAAAAAAATAAATAAATAAAACGTGTTGATGGAAACAAATAGCCTGATTTATAGATTGCCCTAGTAATAACTCAAGATGCTAACTAGCTGTGGGGGTTTTTTTTCCCTTCCTCCCCCTCCTCCACATAGTGGGTAGCCAGGTATTCATATTGTTAGAGCAGCAGATTTTACAACAGACTGTTGCTACTTATATAGGATGGAAAAAACTATTAATTTTCTTATTGCATAGTTGGAGCACTGTACATAAATCAGCATAGTAAAGCAGAAACTACACTGCTAAAACATTCAGGATATATTTCAACTTCTCACAGTATAATGCCTCGTGGAACAGTGTCAGTAATAACTCATAAAATTTAACTATATTTATTCATCAAATATAAGTAGTGGAGTTCACTGCTATGAGCAAAACTTTTTAAAAAAAAAAAAAAAAAACACACCACAATTTTAGAGATATTTTTAATACCTATACAGAGACCTTGGTTCAATCCAAGGCAGAGCTTTCAAATTCCAAGAGTTCAATAATGGAGTAATCGCAATGTTATCTGAAGGAACATCGGGTATTGACAACCCAGGTAAATCTCAATTTTAAAAATTTTACTTCGTTCACTGAAACATCACTCTCACAGCTGCTAGATTTGAACATACAACTGCAGGCTTCCACTGCAGAAGGAAGATCACCGTTTAGATTTAGACATAAGATCTGAATTACTAATAAACTTCATTCAGAATTTAATTTTGGTTTTGCATTGTTGCTCTGGCATCAATCATCATCCAATCACATAATTCTGAAATGAGCTCTTGAATATAAACATCCATTATCAATGAAGATTACAGAAAATTGTTTCCATCCCAGAACCAACATATCCCAAGAATCCTGCCATATCCTATGGATCCAGGATAGAGAAGCAACCAGGAGAAGGGAATTTCTATCTAATATTACTCGTTGCTTCAGAACCTGCACAGCAAATCTCTACAAACGTAAGACCGAATTGTAATCATTTGTATTTGGGAGGGGAAGTTTTGAAGACAGATGAAACTGGGAGCTGTAGGAGAAGGGTAAAAGGAGACTTGGCAAAGCATTCCCCTTTGCAAACTCCTGTGTTTCAGAGAGCTGGCCCCTTGCTGAACACCGCTCTAGTCATAGAAAGGTGAACAGCATGGTGTCCACGCTTGAAGTGAAACATTGCATCATAGCTTTCCCATTCATTACAGTCGAGGAATAAAGAAAAACTGCTGAGAGTACTGCCAAATAGTTTCATTTCAGAGAACGATATAACAAAGTCGTCATCTCTTGAGGATCACGGGCAGGCCAGGGAGGCAGTGTCTGATCCAAAACTAAAATTTAGGAGGCGGTACAATTCCTCTACCAGCAGACAGCAAGAAGGCTGAAGTAAATATTTTAACAGATCACTGATCAAATTACCATGGCAAATGCTGCTTCACAGCTACATTCATATTTCCAAAAATCTTGAGTGACAGAGGAAGAATAATGCAAGACTACACAACATGAAAAAAAGTGTCTTATTTAAATAATACAGATTTTTATGCTACACACGTTGAGTTTTACAGAGCTCTCATCTGACCTATTCAGTGCAGGCTGGCGAACATTCATACAGACGCTTGGAGCAAATCCAGCAGCTTATGACTGAGATAAAACACAACCACAAAATCCTTGCCTGCCTCTGCATAAAGGCATAAATTACAGTGAAAATCAACGAAACCGCACAAAACATCATTTAAGCACAGAGTAACTCCTACAAGTTTCTTTCCAAGAGACACAAAGAACCCGCACAACAGATTTCTTACCATATGACGGAGATTCTCGGCCATCATCTCTGTCAGTTTCTTTTTCTTTTTTTCTCCGGTGATGCCTGTGCCCACGATGTCTATGCCGCCGACGGCCTTGCTTTCCAAAGGGAACGTGAACTCCAATATACACAGCTCTATGGCCTTTTCAAGAAAGTTTAAAAGGAAACAATTAAACAAAAACCAACCTCCTGTCCCAATTTAGCGTCTTAGTCAAAAAGACGAGGAGCTTGACAAAAAGAAACCCAAAAGCACTTGGCAAAACTACCCTGAGTGAACTAATATTTCTATTTCCTTTCCGTCATTCCCTGGTATCAAGGAACTGGTGTTATGCTCATTTCACTGATAAATTGGACCATATTCTTATGTAGTTTACGAACACGGGTGTGAAGCCAGTAATATAGGAACGCAAGCCTCATCTGCAAAACAGAGAGAAACTACTTGATAAACACCAGGGCAAGGCAGAGACATGACGTGATGCTCCCTCTCGTTCGCAGGACAGTCGTGACAAGGGCAAGACGTTACCCTCTAATTCAGTTAATGAACTTCACTAAGAAATCACCCATTGTTCAGAGTCTGCAAGGAGTTTTCTCTGCTTGAATGAACTGCCAATATTTCCTCAAGTAGCATGTGGCACATCTGGGTGAACCTGATGTTCAACTGCATACCATTAATTTCGTATCAGTTTAGGAGTGTAAAAGGAACTTACATGCCAAAACATCCAATAACTTCCAGAGAAGGTTGGGTTGGCTTTTTTCTATTCTAGCGTTTTTTAATAAATTTATGTAGCGCATCCTCAAATTAATACATGCTGTTCTTTAAACATGTACTTTCAACATCATGTTTTTCCTTTGACCATTTACATTAAGGCAATACTAGCATCAACAACTTGGCAAAAGAAATCAATCAACAGACTGTTATGAACAGATGACTACCATGTCTCCTGTAACGGGGTTAGTATATACAATAACCTTTTCAATTCCTTTTTAAACAAACAATCTCAGGAAGCAACTCATTAACTATAAGCCTGGAGGTTAACACTAAATACTTTGTTTCATACTGTAGAAGAGTCATTACAGAAGACTGACATTAACAAAAGGAAAAGGAAGTGGTTTTCCAGCTCTTGCAGAGATGCAAATTCAGCAAATTTACAGAAGACAAGCAAGCCCTAGGAGTCGTGGCTGTGACTGTGCACATATATATATGTACAGCACACACACAGACTAGATAAAGGACCCTGAAAAATTCTGGTGATTACAGAACCTTCAAGAAACAAAAAGATGTAGTATGTCAAACTTGTTTTCCAATAAAATAATCTTTCAGCCCCAAAAGATACACAAAACTTTTAGAAAATGGTATTTTTACAGTGCTACATAAGTAAAAGGACTATGCAAAAAATCACAATAATGTGTAAATTCAACATTTAATTAACTTGGTCAAGATTCCTTTTCAAATCATAAGATCTGATTCCTGTTAATTAGTCAGCGGATTAGCACTGTGACCAAATCTGAAATTAAGCACATTAAAAGCTATCTGTTTCCACGTAAGAGTGGAAACCAGATTAATTTGCTGAAGCAGTCAGACCTATTTACGGAAAGAGACTCTTCTTTTGTGAGCTTCTAACAAGAACGCTCAGCCCCTGCCAAGCAGCCTGACCTCCAACCCCACCCTCCACAACTACCACACACAATGCAATTCCCAGAGAAATCAGGGCAAATGTGGCACCTAAACATACATTAATGCACTTGATGTATAATATGACCAGGCAGCACCGTTAACGACGGTCACATTATTGATGCCACAGTTATACAATAATCTTATGCATAGGGAAAGCAAAAGTACTCGGTTCAAAAATAGCTGCATTACTCACCACACCCCACTCACACCTGCACGGTGCGATAGAGTGACCCACCACTCACAGCAAATGTTATCATCCTTGTTAGGATTTTTGTTTTATTTTATATATTCAATTAGCAAGCACTATATTTTTATTTTATATCTCTCCCTCTCTCTGTATAGATAGATAGATAGATAGATAGATATAGATATAGATAGATATAGATATAGATAGATCTATAGATATATCTAGATATATCTATATAGATATAGATATAGATCTACATATAGATATATCTAGATATATCTATATCTCTATATATAGAGAGATATATATAGATCTATAGATATATCTAGATATATCTATATGTAGATCTATATCTATATCTATAAAACCCGTTTTATTCATTGTCAAAGTATTTGATGTTTTTGCAGGAACTATTTTTTCCTAAGAGAAACTCAAACGTATTTCTAGTAATAGGGCGTTTCATATTATCAGCTTGTTTTAATATTCTTATCAAGACTAAGCCTGTTGTTTTGATCATTGCACAAAAAAAAACTGGCGAGTGATGACCGTCTGGAAAATTTCAAGAATCTGAAATCGTTGAAGATTTTACCTCCCGAAAAATTAGGAGGACTTCCACATTTTGGTCTCTTGACGTTTCCATAAATTAAACCAAAAATTCCACACTGCTTTCTGTACTAAAGAAAAAACAGAAATCCCATACAATTTTTTCAGGAAGTTCCATCTTGAACAATTCACCCCCCTCTTGCAAAAATGAGCATTTGTAGCAGTGTGACCGTTTCCATAGTCAAAGACCGCGATGCTGCACGGAGGAGAGGTGGAACGAGGCATCTCCTATTACAAAACTGCAGACTGACCGAAAAATGGTTTTCGATAGCAAAGTTTGAAGGAGAGGAGATGCGTTGCAAGGTACAGGCAAAAGCTATGGAAAACCAAGCAACGAACCAAAGGAGTTTTGCAACAGCCCTGTGCCCACAGCAAACGGCTTTCCCACCCCACACGCAGCGAGCTCTCAGCCCCCACTATTCCCAGGTGCCCCGAGTAGGCTCTGCCAACTTAGCCCTCAATCCGGGCTGCCAGCCCACAACCTGTGACATTTGATATTACTTTCTCCTCCAGAAGGGAGCTTGAAAGACGCCTTCTCTCTACTCCAACAGATCCGGGTGCCACAAAGACAGGGGAGCGGGCTAGCAGTGGGTTATCCTGCCCTCCAGGCCACGCTGCCCAGATGCAGCTGTCGTGTGAGTGGGCACTTCCTCACGCAGCCAGCCGTGCAGGTAAGGGTAAACCAAACCATCAGACTGCTATACCCCCAGCTGCAGTTTGGGGTGAATGCGAAACGCTGACAAGCAAGGCTATTTTCAGCAACTATTAAGTAAAATGCATCGCAACCCGATGTAATTCTAACGAAAACAACCTGATGAGCCTCCGAAACTTGTTTTCTTTTTTTGGAGCAAGCGTGGCAGGGTTGCAGTACAATGGACTAACCAAGAAAAGTTTGGCCGTGACAAACAGCAGCTTATGAGTGCACCAGACTGCTCCTTAGGAGGCCTCTCAAGACATCTCCACCACTGCCTAGGAAATCCAAAACCACTGCTGCCGACAATACTACCACGATTACCCAAACACTTGTTGCGCCTATGTATTCAACTCCAAAAGGCAGAGCAAAACTGCCTAATAAGTTGGACATGATTAATTCTAACTCCACAAAGGAAAGCAGTGAGAAGCTCTCTAAAAATAAAGATGGTCTGTGTTACCTTAAGGTTCATTATTCAGATCAGAGTAATTAATGTTTACAGGTGGAAAGATAAAGATTTACTTACAAACACAACTGGCAAGGAAAAACTAAACAAACAACACAGGGAATTTTTTCCTTTATTCCCAATGAATTGGGCAAAACAACTTACAGTTCCCTTCACCCTGGCCAAAAAAAAAAAAAAAAAAAAGCCAGAAAGGCAACTAGTATAATAGCAATAGAGAAGCAGATAACTCTAAAAAAGGCTGGAATTCATATTACTAGCATCAGAGCATCAGTGTTATTTCTAAAAGGAACACAACCTTCTACTTCAATATTGTTTTTCAAAGCTTGAAAGGTACAATTATGTGACCTCCAAAGCTTTATTCACAAAAACTTCTGTGCACAGTACCACTTTCAAGAAAATCTTGTTATAGAATTAATTTAAACCAATAATCAAGAGACTTAGTAGATTGTCCAATACTAAATTTAGTAATACAAAGCACAAGAGATAATTGTTCATTTTAATTTAACGTGACTTTATCCAAGCTTAGCTGTTCAAATCCACCAAGAGTATTTATTACTTTAAGTCCTTATTATGAAACGAATTCAAATGTTGGAAGCTTGCTACACGTCTCCATCACATGGTTGGTCTTACTCCAAAAGTCAATTTGTATCAGGTCCTATAAAATTTACAGAATAGAAAATGCTCTGTTTAAGTTCCCTGATCTCTCCCCAAAGGCCCTAAGAAAATGGTAATAAAAGACTTCTGAAGTCCAAGAGAGATCAAAAACACGTATCCAAAAACGCTCTGATGTGGCAACCCTGTAAGTACAATTCCACACAGAACTTCCTTTTTTCCTAACCATCACTTTGTTAGCTAGATGCCTTTTAAGCTTCATACAAAGAAGAACATTCTTCCCCACATTAACAAGGGAAAGCAAAGAAAATCCAGTGCGAGTTCTCAAATCCTGTTACTTAGGCATCTGCACTGCAGAGATCATACACCGATTACGGTTGGGAGGGACAGCTGGAGGTGGCCTATCTGGCCCAACCTCCCTCACAGTTTATTTAGCCAACTTCCAAGCCAAAGCCATCTTTTTGATCACGCTCGTCAGGATGACAACCAGCCCAGCTTTCAGTATCTGTAAGGACGGACATTCTACAGCCTCACCAGGCAACCAAATCCAACCCATAACAACACGCTGTATGCATTAAAAAAAAAAAAAAAAAAAAAAAAAAAAAAGTCTTAATATCCAATCGGCACTTCCAGTACTGCATCATGTGTGTGGTCCCCCTCACCCTTCCACGAGCATCTCCAACCAGAGTCTTGACTCCGTCCTCTCAGGAAGTTCCCAACAGGCTGTTGAAGACAAAAACTTCATGACAAGAATTCCTATTTTTCCAAAATCCTTCAAAGAATAATTTGAAGATACATCCTTTACTTCATACGGAAGCCTTTATTTAATCCAATAATGTCATAAGCTACCTTGTCCCAGCATGGAGCTTTCAAGCATGGAAAAACTGAAGGATTTGCAGGAGAGATCC